AATTTTCTCTGTTTAACGGGAGAATTAAAATGCATTGGGTCAGCCTTGCATGAAAAGTAATTTGTTTTAGTCCATGGTCATGATAAGAACTGACTGAGGAGGATCAAAAAACTCTTTAGAAACTGGATTAAAGGCCTTCCTGAATGATAGGAACTCAGACCAGCCATGAGCCTCAGATGCAACAGCCACCTTTGTTAAAACACATTCTAGGAGCTTGGGCTGCTCTCCAAAAATAAAAAATACAAGTTAAACCTGGCTGTGTGATCAAGGTGACAGCTGCTGGTTGTGATGGGAACCTCTGGAGCCAGAGGCATGAGCCACAGCTCCTTCAGTTTAGGGGGATAAAGGGCAAAGTGAGAGAACTCTGTGGTTCTATGAGGCCATAGCTGAGAAAAACTTCACAAAGTGGGAATGGGTTGGGTGTGTGACCTTCGGAGGATTCTGTGCCTTTGAAAAGCAAAATCCTGTACGGAGCAGTTGCAGCAGCCTCATTATTTGTGGATTAAGGACAGATGGCAACTCAAGCCACATCGATCAGCGGGAGCAGCAGTTTGCTGAGAGCTCATGGAACAGGACTCCAGGGGTCGCAGGGGCTGTCTGCAAAGGGTCCCATTAACTTCAGAGCGAGCCTGCACTGCATTTCATGTGGATTCCTCAGTTCTCAGCATCAAAAAAACCATCCAACCTCATGCTCGAAATGGAAGAAGGGGCAGAGCAAGGGCTTGTGTGGTGGGCAAGTAAGGATGGAGGTTTTATAGAGGGTGGGGAGTCTGTGGTGGCTGTGTCAGCTCAGCCAGCAGAGACTGAGTGATGGACTGAGGGATGGGGCAGCTGTGCAGCCTCTGCAGGGACCACATCGCACTTGCATCCCTTCTGCAGCTCCTGCATTGGGCTGAAAGCATTTGTGTGACACCACAGCCGTTGTAGATCATTCCACAGCCACTGTAGGTCATTCTTTTCATAGAACTATGGAATCATTAAGGTTGGAAAAGATCACCAAGCCCAACCACCAATGTAGCACCCCCACCATGTTCACCACCACCATGTCCTCAAGTGCCACATCCACACCTTGTCTGAACACTCACTGGGATGGTGACCCCCACCTCTTCCCTGGGCAGCCTGTTACAGTGCTTAACAACCCTTTCTGTGAAGAAATTTTTCCAAATAAATAATCTAAAACTCCCCATGGCACATCTCGAGGCTGTTTCATCCTGTCACTTGTTACTTGGCTGACACCCACCTCACCACAAGCTTCTGTCAGGGAGTTGTAGGGAGAGATGAGGTCTCCCTTCAGCCTTTTTCTCCAGGCTGAGCCCCCCCAGCTCCCTCAGCCACTCCTTCCCAGAAGCCAGATGCAGCAGTGGGCACAAGAACCCTGTCTTTTCCTCTTGGCACAGCATTTTCCCCCCTGAAATGTGGGATAGGAATAACTTCATATAATAGACCCTTAACCACTTGTTTACAGCTCCACTAAAAAAGACAAATCACTTGAAGCAGTGAAGGACTAGACCCAGGAAAAGAAGGAGGATTTCAAAAGGTTTATCTGACAGCCAATAAACAAGATAAATAACATGCAGCATTTAATTTGTCAGGACCATGGTACAACCTGATGATAAAAAAGGACTGCTCCATAAAGTGGGGAATACCTTTGTCTTGGCTGTAAATGCCTGGGTTGATTTACTAAGTGCCCTGGTAGTTCTCTAGCTCCTCTTAATACTCACAAATAGAATGGAAACTGAGAAATAAGGAGAGGAAGGAAGTTATCTGAGCTCAACCTCATAAACTGATCTCATTTCAGTTAAGGATTTGAGATCATGACGGTTTTTATCTTATTTTGCCTGGTTCTCCCATTGCTGAGGATAAGCAGAGTAAGAGTTACCCACTCTGCTCTGCTCAGGTGAGACCCCACCTGCAGAGCTGCCTCCAGCCCTGGGACCCAGCACAGGAAGGACCTGGAGCTCCTGTAGAGAGTCCAGAGAAGGCACCAAGGGGATCAGAGGAATGGAACATCTCTGCTGTGAGGAAAGGCTGAGAGAATGGGGATTGTTCAGCCTGGAGAAAAGAAGCTTTAGGTTTACCTAATTGTGGTTTTCCAATACCTGAAGGAAGCCTACAAGAAACATGGAGAGAGAATATTACAAAGGCCTGGAGTGACAGGACAAGGGGGAATGGCTTCAAACTGAAAGAAAGGTTTGGCTTGGATATCAGGAAGAAATTCTTCGTTATGAGGGTGGTGAGGTCCTGGCAAGGGTTTTTCAGAGAAGCTGTGGCTGCCCCATCCCTGGAAGTTTACAAGGCCAGGTTGGATGGGGCTTGGAGCAATTTGGGATAGTGGAAGGTGTCCCTGCCCATGACAGGGGATAGAATGAGATGACCTCTGAGGTCCCTTCCAGCTCAAACCATTCCATGACTCTGTGATTCTATGATTTAAAAAATCAGTCACTGGCACCTTCATTATTGCTCCCTCTTTCCTGTAGTGAGACCAGGAAGCATTAATTTCACATATATTTCAGGGGATCAGTGCTATAATGGTCATATCCCAAAATGCAGAGCTGTTTGAATAATCCATCATCAAACTGGGAACACCATGACAGCCAGTGAGTCTGGGCCCATATTTTGCTTACAAACACAATATAAAATAACTTCTAAGGACACTGGAACAATTATATATTTTGTCTCAACAAAAAGCATCTCAAAAAAATCACAATCCAAGCCAAGGCTTGCATGAAGCTGCTTTCTCCCTTCCCCAGCTTCACTCCTAATCTGCAAGGGAGTGAGATGAAAGAAACATCCTGAAAAGGGCAAACCAGGAGCTGATTAACTCCTAAACGTGTCTGGTTACAGATATCCTATTGATCAGCTCTAGCCTGGCATCAGGATACCTCCCATTACACTGATGGTTTCCCTTACAAAGGAAATACAATCTGTCTTCCATAAGGATATGGAAGACGAGCCTGTGTTCCCATGCTCTTTAGAAAAGTGACCAGCACAGAAAGTGACTTTTGAGGGAAAGACAATCTTCTTCAGGGTCAAGTGTTTGTTTTGTGCCAGTAAAAACTCCATCCTCCACACTGCTGCCAGGATCTCTGGGCACTTTGCTGGCAAATTCACTGCCCTCCAATTCCTTCCTGCTCCATTTTTCCATGTTATTCTCATGATTAACTATTTGAGCAGCTTCCATGGCCCTCAGCAGAGGGAATGTTGCTAAGCCTGTGTTTATTTTCACTTCGTAGCAGAGTGAACGAGTGTTTGTCCATCCCTGTGCAAGAGGGTGCTGGTAATATTCCTAAATTCTGATCTGGGATAGTGAACTTAGTTGGGTTAATTTTTCCGTGCAAGGCTGGTGTCCTGTCTAGGGTGTGTAGGGGCCAGCAGAGCCCAGAGCTCAGAGTACAGCCACAATCTCATAAATAGCAATTCAGGGAGGCTGAGTCAGCTGAAGTACATCATCTGCATCTCTGAATTCTCTGGCTGTTGCCAAGGGTAAAAACAAACAAAAAAAACCCAAAAAAACAAAGGGGGAGGGGGGTAAGGGGTAGGTTATTTAATTTTTATTTTAAAAACAATAATTTTCCCAGTGTTTCCTGTCTTCAAAAAACCCCTGCATCTTTAGCTCATTATCCTTATCTGTGCCTGAGCACAGCACAGAGCTGAATTCCCTGGACCTGAAACACCTCCAAGGGTAGCTGTGGGTAATGAGAGAATTCACAGCAGGAAAAGCAGTCATGTGAAAGTGGACACCTCTGGGCTGAAGGGCCACCTCTGCTCCTCCCCATGAGGTGGACAAACGATGGAGCAGAACAGTGAAGCCAGGGCTTATTTCAGCAGATTTTAGATTGCTGCATGCGGCCGATGGGGAAAGAACTGACCACTGAGGGATGTGACAGCTTATCCATCACCTGGAAGGACTGGATAGTCCCCTGCTGACTTTTACAACCCAAAACTCAGCCTTGCTGTGCTCCCTGCAGGTGTTTGGACTGTGGGAGGCCAGCCAGATTCAGATGATCTTCACAGTCCATCCTGCCATCAGCATTTATGGACGTTCCACCCGGACCAGTTGCTCTTGGCAGGAAACTGGAAAGACACAGGGTGGAGAAGGCTGCAGAGACTCAGAATTTCCTTTAAGTAGCAGGATCATCCCTGCAGCCAGGTGGTTTGGGGGATCCATCAGTGTTCAGAGCTGTAGGTTGTGGTACAATGGGGAAAGCTGAGCGTTGCTGACACCAGCACTGAGCATGGCCTGGGAGATGAGCCGAAAATGCACCTTCATCTTGCTCCCTGTGGATTCTACAAAGGGTGCTGGAGGAGAATGTCATTCCCATGTTATTCCCCCACCAAAGCTGTCCTTGAGAGCAGTGCCTCTCTGTGGCTGGTGGGGTCTGCAGTGTGGGGAAAGGAAATGTCTTTTTTTGGGGAATATGAGTGGTAGAACCTTATCTCCTCTCACTTTCCTAGTCTTCACATTGTGTGTTTGTGTGCTGGCAGAAGGAGGAGGCACAACCTCACTGATGGTGGATTTGTACCTTGAAGTGGTTTTTGCTTGTGTCTTCTGGGGTTAGAAGCCAACAGGACACAAAAATGGACAGAGGGTCTTGTCAGAGGGGAAATCTTTGCCACAGTAAGCACAGGAAGGGCAGGACTAGTTGGAATCAGAATATTCTGAGGTGGAAGGGACCTTCAAAAATCACTAAAGTCCAACTCCTGGCTCTGCACAGGGCAGCCCAAGAACTCCACCATGTGCCTGAAGGCCTTGTCCAAACACTTCTTAAACTCTAGAAATGGGAATAACTGAAGAGAAGTCAATGTGAAGTCAGGCAATGCTTCTCCCTTCCCCTTCTTGACTTTCTGGGCTACCCTGCAGTGTCCAGTCCCTCCACTTTTAGAGACACCCCAGTTCTGAGTCTCAGCAGCTGGTACACGGCAGGGTCTGCGCTGCCTCGGCTCCCCCTGGGCTCTGGGCTCTCACGGAGGCTGACGGGGCTTTTCTGGATCTTGCCCAGGTGGTTGGAACTCCTGGTCGGCCTGGGGCGACTGCACCAAGGACTGCGGGGGCGGCCTGCAGACCCGCATGCGCTCCTGCAAGCCCCTTCCCAACGAGGGCCTGGCCTGCGAGGGAGTCCTGGAGGAAGGACGGCTGTGCAATAGGAAGGCTTGCAATAGTAAGTGGAGGCATGTTCCCTTGCACGCGCGGGGCCGGGAGGAGGAGGAGGATGGCCTCATCCCTGTAGAGGATGGAGGGTGCTGCAGAGGCTCGGGGAAGCTGCCCCAGGGCTGTGTTGGAGCAGGGAGCCCAGGGGAATGTGTGGATTCGGCTGTGCATGGCCCTGCCCGTCCCTGCCTGTCTGCACGCGTGCTGGCACAGTCTTCCTGCACCTTCCAGGCCTTCAGCCGAAAGAATTTATAGGAATCCATAAGCAGGTTTGCATCAGGTTTTCTTATCCTGGTGGTAAATCTGCCACATCCTTACAGGCTTTTTTTTTTTTTTTTTTTTTTCCCGGTTGTCCCAAATAATTAAAGCTGAGAGAGATGTTAATCTTGCTTCTTCTTGGTTTAGTTCAAGAGCAGTGACCCTGCCCCTTTCTTTTACAAATGGAAGCTCCTGGTGATAAGATGTAGAGAAAGATCTGGCTGTTAGACAGAGATTGAGTGCTGCAAAGGCTTCGGTGTGTGCTCCACTCTCCCCCTGTAATGCATCCTCCTTTCAGGTCCTCTTCTCCAGAGAACAGGGCACACAGTGCCCACACCAGTCAGATACTGATGGGTTGAGCTGGTGAACCTCCAGCGCTTTCATCCCCAGTTCTTCTGGTGCTTTAAGCTGTGTTGAGAGGGGGATGAATAGGAAAAGCCAACTGCAGACACAGCTCAGCCCAATAAATGCAGGCAAATGGCTGGTTATAATTATTCCCTTCTTTTTATTTCAAATTCAGAGTAGAGAATGTTTGAATAACTCCTCTAACTAGTCAAATAACTAAGGAAAGTTCAACTGTCTTCAAAGGCTGGGAAGTATCTCCTGATAAGGGGGAAGTTCAAATAAAGGAACATAAATATATTCCTCTAATAAGGGCTAAAATGATTTCATGCATTTTTTAACATTTCCATAAATTTAAAATATGTTGCAATTAGGCTTAGACTTTTTTTTCTTTTTTAAAATTAAACCTGGTATATTGAATTCCATCTCCTTGACTCACAATTGCTAAATTCCCTCTGAGATTTTCCCTCACCAGGGATATTTAATCTGTGTCCCCCATGCTTGGTGGTGACTTTGTAGTCATGACTCAGCTGTGGCTTGTGGCAGGGAAAGGAATGCAAGGACCTGGAAGCTGGTCCTGAAAAAAGTCCAGCTGTGGGATTGGGGTGTGCCTGAGTGGAGTTGGAGGAAGAGCCACACCAGTCCTGGTGAACAATGCGTGAAGGAAGAGATGGCACTGGGAGTGGGAAAGGGGGATCTGCAGGGCTGGTCACTCTTTGACTGTGGGAACACATGAGACAACAGGCAAAAAACCTCCTTAATGTGTCCCTCCTATGCTGGATAAACTATGGAGGACCCAGTTCCCCAGATTCTCTTTGCAGGATATCCTGCCTCATCCATAATCATCTTCCAAGGTGTCCATGGGACCTGTTTGATTCTTCTGCAGGCCCGTTGATGTGGTGAGAGGGTGAAGATCCTGTTTCCAGGGCCAACCTCATCAGCACTGAGCAGGGGGCGTAACATCTTCCCTTGATCTTCCTCAGGGCCAAAACTTTGGTTCTTCTTCATGTTAGATCTCCTGAGGTTGTGGTGGCAAAGAGTGGGATGGGGTGGAGAACCATGGAGCCTGGGTTGGATTTCCATGACATGGAGTGCAGCAGTGAAGAATTAATCAGTTTTTACTCATTATTTACTTCACTTTTTCCAGAACACAACAATCAGCAAAGCCAATCCTAAGTGCAAAAAAGCCCGGAGGGGCTATGATTCAATAAATTATTTCACTTGTCTTCCTGTCCTTTTTCCATTGCATTCCCAGTCAATTCTTCTTCCAAACTACAGTGGGCTTAGTTCAGCTCAGATTATTTGGGAAGAAGGAATTTTAAGTTCAGTGGAAAGTCCTAGTATGGAAGGAGAGTACAACAGAGTCAGGCAGCACAAACTGATTTATTCCATTGAAATAAATTAATTCTGATTAATTGTCCCAAGACCCTCTTTGCAGACAAAATGCTGAGCCCCATTTTGATGCTTTTGTGCTGGAAAGGATTTGAGGGGATATGTGAGCAATAAACTTTCCAGAAGAGTTCTGCATGTGCATCTTGAGGTCTGTGCCCTACTTCAAGACAAACCTGTGTTTCTTCATATCAAAACTGTTCACTTGGCTCTCAACTTGCCTCTCAGTGAATCTGTCCCTTGTTGGCTTTGCCCAAGGAGATGCACTTTTGACCCAAGAAGGGTTTTTAATTTTCTTGCACGTATCTTTTCCTTCTCTTTACTTTGGTCTGCACCAAAACCTAAGAGGATTTAAAAGTAGAATATAAATCCTGTTTTAAATGTGTCACTGTTATTTTCATATTGACTTTTGCTCATAGATTTGTTAGGGATGAGTAGAATGTTCGTTCATTTCCTGGAACTGTTATTATTCTAAGTGTTCATTATAAGCTGCAGTTAAATAGATTCTAATTATTTCTCTTTTTTTAATTAAAAGAAAAAAATGAAGAAAAATGGAAAAAAAAAAAAAAAGAAAATAGGAACTGGCCAGGAGATCAGCTTTATCTTCAATTGTTCATCATTTAAGCAGCTTGTAATAATACCTGACCAACTCTCCAGGTATTGTGGAATAGCTGAGATCTTAATTTTCTAGTAGGGAAAAAAGCAGGAAAAAAATATTTTCCTTGAACAAAGTGCCATCTGTAATCCTGATAAAACAGCAGAACAAAACAGGGATGAGTGCTCTGATATTTTCCTTTCTGCTGAGGAGGTAAATTGAAACTTGTCCACTGAGAAATTGCTGGCCAAGCAAGTTGGCTTAGAATAACACAGACATCCCCACCGCCTTGAAAGCAAGGATAAACCCATCTTTTTTCTTTCACTTCTCCTTTCCCACTTCTGCCAAAGTGGCTCAGAAGCTGATGAGTGATTAGCAGGAGTGTTTTCGCTCTTTAATTGGATCTGCAACCTCTGAGGCAGGTCCTCAGAGTGATGACACTCAGCTCCCTGGAGCTGCTGAGAGGAACTTTTGTGGAAGACCTTTGACAGTTTCGTTGGTTGTTTTATTTTGCCAGGCCATGGCAAATGTTCCAGAGCTGTCTTGTCACACAGCTCCTTGCCCAGGTCCTGCCATTTTCCTCTTCCAGAACTGCCCCTAGGTGGGCCTTCAGCAAGTCTCAGCATGAAGGAGTGGTAATGGTAGAAAAAACGTCTCAGTTTTCCTAAGAGCTGTGACTTGTGTCAGCCTGGTCACCAAAATGTGTGTGCGGACACCTGGGCCCCAGAGCTGAGTCTGAACACGTTGCCTGGAGGCCACAGAGGTTAAAATCAGTGCACAGGGGTGGCTGAGTGACTCCACAGGTACCATTTTTATGTGGTCTTTGTGTTTTCTCACTCGTTTGGGCCACCATCTCTGCTGTTTCATATGATAGAGTCTCTTGCTTGATGAGCTTCTGGCTAAATTTCCCCAGGGATACACACCAAGCCAAACAGAAAGTGAGCCAGTAAGTTTTCCATGGGCAAAACCAAAAGCTGTGAAATGCTGAGGAAAAAGTGTATTGAAGACTCATCCCAGACTGGGAAGAAAACTTTGTCTGGTAACAGCAGCTTGGCTTAGGCAGAGCCTCTATTTGTGGCAGCTCAAGGAAAACACTAAGGTTTTTTTGTGGCTGAAGGAAAACACAAAGTGTTTGTTGTAATTCTGATTTTGCCTTGGTAAAGGACTTGGTGATCCAGCACAGACTGAGGAGATTTCCTCCCTCTGTTGGATTTCGGCGCAGGCTGCTGTTTTATAGAGAGGGAAAAAGATTCCAACCCAAGTGTGGTGGGAGCTTGCCAAGGAACTTCCCAGGTCCACCCACAGTGGATGGAAAGGGATGTGCTCCAGTGGTTCTTTTTGGCTGCAAGGTTCTGTGTTTGCTCACAACCTGGCAGGCAGAGGGTCCTCACAAGGATGGACAACACCCAAACCAGAGGGGGTACGTCACAACCCCGACCCCAGAGTTGGAATTCAGGAGTGCTGGAGAGGTGTAAGAACAATCAGAGATGTGGGCAGCCTGCATTTATTCCTGGGGAAGGAGAACCAGCAGAGGAGCCAGTTGAAATCCTGCCATCCCATCTGGCAGAGGCTGCAGAACCATCCCTGACATTTATGGAAATGCAGATTGAGAAGCCACAGCTCCCCACGGCTGGGAAAGGGGTGACCACATCCTGATGTCAGGTGCAGGAGGGTGACACTGGCATGGTCCTGTCATTCCAGGCTGGATTTTCAGCTTCCAGGCTTCCAGCAGGTTCAGGATGTAGCTCTTTAACTGTTAGTGGTGTGAAGGAATGCATGTTCCACATGACATTCCCAAGGCTGAGCCTCAGTCTCAGTCTCTGCCTGCCACCCCTGATTCTCTTTTTTTTTTTTTTTTTTTTTTTGCTGCAACAACAGAGCTGAAATATCCTGGGCATGTGTGGGAGTATCTTCATTCCCTGCATGCAGGCCAGGCTAGAACTCACTGCAAGCTGGAGGAGCTCCCATAGGTGCCTGCTGCTGCTGTAGAGACTTTGGCCTGCCCTCTTTTTTACTGATGGTTCTGGCATTTCACATCTGAGAGTCACAGAGCGCTCCTCCAGTGATGTTTTCACAAATTTCAGATGTTCAAATTGAAATGCTTTGGGTAATTTCCTTAGCTGGTGCAATTGCAATATATCCAGTGTTCTCCAAAATGTCTTTCTTTTCCATCCACTGACATTTTGGGGTTTAGGGGTTGTTAGTAATTCTGTGCTTTTCAGTTTTACTCTTTAGCAGCCGATAGATGCCCCAAAAACTCTATAGCCACTACATTTCCTTTCAGCTTTACTGCACAGAGATTAATTTGAATGCTTTGGGTATTTTTTTTTAATAATCCCATTCTACTTTTTGCTCTGGTTCATCCCTTCGTTCCTACCATCCCACCTTGCCTGAATAATTTTCATGATCCTGCTATTTGCTTCGCCTCTTCTGTTTGGGGGATGAGTACAGAGCGTGTAGCTGTGGCAAGACATGTTTGGAGGTTAAAACCTTGGCCCACAGCACTTCGAAGTCTCTGCCTTTATTTTATTTTTCCCTTGGTTGTGTTGCAAGGTGCTGTCTGACACATTGCATGTTCTCATTAGAAGTGTTGGTCACCTGCTTCCTATTCCCACTCCTGCCAGCACTGATCATCCTCCACATCCACACTTGAGCTTTTTTTTTTCAAAATCTCATGTACTTGCCTCTGCTTGCAGATGAAACATCCCTGTTTGGTTCCAAGAGCGTTATCCCTCTGTTCCTCCTGTTGGCATTGGAAAGGTGCTTGGGTTTTTAGTGTCATTTTCACTGCATTTACCCAGCTGGGACGTAAACTGGGTCTAGGTCTTCCCTTAATCCTGGAATTACTCCTCTCCACTGACCCTGCTGTAGGAAAAAGGCTGCTGAAATCCAACCAGGTCCCCACTGCCTTCAGGTTTTGAGCTTCACCTCATAAAGTTCAGGTGCCCACAGTAAATCAGCACTTGCACCAACTTCCCTTTATTCTGAAGGGACCTGGTGTCTCCCTGCTCTGTTTGGAACCAGGATTGGTTTGTGCATCTCTACAGGGAAAATGTCCAAGTTAAATCTCAGCTGTGCTCTGTGTTAAATGGAGACAAACTGGCTTCTCTGCACATCCTTTTCCAAAGGGGAGGAAAGCTTCCTGCAGCAGTGGAGTGTCCCTGGCAGGGGGGAAGCTTGGGGGAAGCTGGAAGGGTGCTCATTTGGCCTCTAGGCCTGATTGGCTTTAATTAGCATGAGAAATAACAGTGCAGACTTGACATTCCTGTCAAGGAGCAAAGGAAATCATTCAGTCCTTCAAGACTGGGATAAGTCATTAGGAGATGCCAGTGACACGGGCCCAAATAATTGGTGAGATGAGGTTCAGGATGTTAGACTTGCAATTAAAACTTCTGTTTGCTCTTTTATCTTTCCTTCCCTCTGTGCTGCCTCATATGTCTCTGTCCATCTGTGAACACTGACTGCTTCTGGGATATTCAATCCCAGGTTTTCCCTGCCACCTTCCTTGCTCTGGGCAGGTGACAAAGCCGTCCAAGCTCCACATCTACTCCTTGATGCCCAGCCCCACTTTCTCCTCCCAGCCTAAATAAGTCTGTGGGAAGCCCATGGGATGTAATGCAAATGGAGATTTTGTGTGTTCTTGTGGTTTGTGAGATTTCATGGAGAGGACTTAAATTGGAGCAGATGAAAGTGTGTGGGTATAACCAGGAATGGGTGGTGGGGATGTGAGAAGTCCCAAATATGGGAATAAGTTGTCTCCTAACAAACTCAAAAAAATTAGAAAATTTGGAAAACTACTTAGAGTTAGTCTTTTTTGAACTGAATCTCCCACAGGAAAGTCCCATGATTTTTAGCTATTAAAAGCAAAGGGTTTGAGACCTTTTTATTCCAGGAAAGAACCAGACAAAAACTAGGTGTTTGCAGATATCAGGATGTTTGTGGTCCTGATTTCAGGCTGTGGGTATCTTTCCCTAGAGGATAGCAGGTGGGTGACTGCCCCATCCCATCCCCTCCAGCCAGCAGCCAGCTGGTGCTGGGAATGTTTGGAGGAGTCCATGTGACAATTCCTAGACTCCTCAAGTTCTGCTTTCAGGCAGCCGTGATGGTAAATAATACAATTTCACAAACTCTCCCATGATCCAAACTGCTGAATATAAAGCCTGGCTCCTGGCAGGGACTCTCTGAATCATTCCTCTGCCTCCTCTGCTTTCCCTTTTTGGATGGCAATAAAGACTCCTGCCACCACACTGAAGCTTCATTAACCTTTATTAATTTTCTCAGGGTTCTGGGATCAAATTTGTCACCATTTCAACCCTTGGCAGTTCACACTTCTTGAAAAGATGTCTGACTGTTTTGCCTCCTTGGGGGAAAAAATCTTCTGTCTGGTACTTGCTGTTTGGAAACAAATTGGCTGCCAGATCACAGATTACTCGGGCTCAGCTCTGCTCTCTGCTATTCCATGTGACTCCTGTGGAGTCAGCTGAGCTCTCCTAATTTACAGCAGGCACTCCTGGTGGATGGGGTTTGGTTGTTATTGCTGGGTTGTTTCTCTCTTTGTTAGGGAGGGAATGTGTCAGGGTTACAGCATGTCCAGTAATACAGACAACAGAAATTTTAGTTTTCCCTCCAGCCAACTCAGGGCTGATCCCCACGGGATGAAAATGAAAAGCTGGCAGAGTGTGGGCTCAGAAGGAACAGTTTAATGCCTTTGATTTACTGTGGATACATTGTTTACCTTCTGAACTCCACACCATGGGCTCCACTTGGAGATTTTCAATAGGACACGAGGGTCAGGAGCTTGTCTCTCACAGAGAAGGAAAAGTTCCCAGTTGTAGCTCTGTTGGTACTCTGCTGAAAACAGACTTTCATCTCTCCTTGTTGCTGGTGGCAGGATAAAGTCTGTGAAGGAGATTTCCTACTGAGATATTCCTTGCCTTTCTACCTGCCCTCACCTGCCTGCTCCACTCAGCGTTTTCTGTCTCCTCTACAGGGCATTTCTAGGCAGGTGCTGGTTGCAAGGCAGAATTTCCCACCAAAACCACCTTGCCAGTTGTCACCATAAATCTCAAAACACCACTAGGAATGGTGGGATTCAGTGCCAGCACGTCTGAAAAGGATGAATCCTCCACAAGTGCAGCAAGGAGTGGAGACACCCTAGAAAACCACTGAAATTAATTAAAGACCAGACATAGGGGACCATACTCTGAACGGTCCCAAACCTCACTCAAAAAGAAGAGGTTGAACCACCAACCAGCCAGAATCTTTCAGGCTTGTTGGTGCTGAAACCTCAGGGAAAACTGATGACCAGGGGTGCTGGGGTTGGAAAGCAGGTGGTCATGTCAGGGGAACATCGCAGATCGCTGTTGTTAACGCGTGTAACCTTTGTAGTGAAAGATCTTGCAGAGTGAACCGAGGTGTATTTACATGACCCATTACCTTGCCATAGCCAATGGACGCTATAATTCCAGAAGCCAATCGCTGAGGTCCACAGATAACAGAAAGCGAGAGGACCCTGACGAACTGCAGCACTACGGGTACCCTGCACCTCAAATAGGTAAGCTCTGACCTCCCACAGTGGCCTCTGGAGCTGGGACACTGCTCTGGTCACTGCACTGCCCAGCTGGGCTGGGCTCTCTGACTGTTTCAATGACCCCCCGCCCCCCCCAACCATCTCCTTCCCCCCAGGTCAGTGTGGGGGATGATCCCCCCGTGTTGTCACGTGCTGAACCAATGGCCATCGCCCCCTGTGTTCCCATTCCATCACCCCACGGGGTTTTGTGTCGTCACCATTGGCCAGAGAAGGCAAAAAGGGACAGACACAAAGCCCTGGCAAGACCATCCATCCCACAGAATGTTTTCCCATCACCCTGCCTACTTCTGAGTCACTGCTTTGTCTGAATTATCCAACCACATGTGGTTCATGAAGCCAAAGCTGACCTTGGTGCAATGCAGCCCATTTGCTGATGTCCATGTCATGCCTTCCCATTGGCTGTGAGAGAGGGAGAGCAGGGCTCGGTGGGGACAGAGCAGGATTGATTTCCTCTGTCCCTGGGTCTTTAGTGCTGTGCAAGGACTTGTCTCCAGTAGGTTCCGCAGCAGGACCTTCCACCCTTCTGCCACAGAAGGGGAATAATGTGTAATAATATCAGACAGCATGATCTGGGAAGATGGGGATGAATCCGACCTAAATCTCTGCCAGATCTGATCTACCCCATACCTAGAAGTGTTCAAGGCCAGGTTGGATGGGGGTTTGGGCAACCTGATCTAGTGGAAGGTGTCCCTGCCCATGGCAGGGGTGTTGGAAGTAGATGATCTTTAAGGTTCCTTCCCACCCAAACCATCCTGTGATTCTGTGATTCAGTCTGGAAAGGTTTTGTGCTCTCCCTTCATGCCTGTGTGTCATGGCAGGATCTCAACACATCAGGGGTCTCAGGCAAAGCACAATGTGCTGAACCTGGTCACAGGTTAAAAATCACTGCCCAGTGACCATGCCAGCGTTTTGTGCTCTAGAAAGGTTTCAAAGAGGTGATTTGATTAGAAGTGAGAGAGGGTCATACTCTGGTGTGGGTTACCTGTGCTCCACCCAGCCCAGGAGGACTTTGCCACTGTGCAGCATCAGGAGTCTCTGTGGTGTGGAGTAACTGGGGGTGGCTTGTTGGGGTTGTGGTTTTCAACACAAAGCAGGACTCAGCCTCAATTTCCTCTCTACCCTCTACACAGCCTCTGCTCCCTCCACTGAGAGCAGCTCCACTGCCTGCAGAATGGATCCCTGGAGCCTGGTAAAACCTGCAGGAGAGGGAGGACTTTTGTGTTACAACTTGGAAAAGCTGAGCTTAATCTCTCTGTCCAAATGCAGAGGAAAGGAAGGCTCTTCAAGGCAGGCCCTTGTTGTTCCTACTCTGCTTGGTCCCAGGTGCTTCCCCAGAGCTCCTGCTCCAGCCTGTAACTCAGCCATCAGGTTTATAGTTTGGCCTTTCTTCCTGCCATGCAGCTGGGTGCTGGAGCGGGGCTCAGTGACGTCTCTGTCACCTCCCTGCCATTGTGGCCACCGCTGTAGCATGGCTGGCTTGGGCTGTGGCATCCCTGAGGGCAGCATGGGCTGGAAGATGTGCATTGTCCTGCTGCAAGCTTCCCACATCCCTGTCGCTGTCCCAGGTTGGAAGGAAATCCGGATGGAGGAGATGTGGACACAGAGGGTACAGTTCGAGGGATTAGAGGGAATTTTTAGCTGAGGATGCAGAAGCAAAGCCCACAGCTTCCCTTTGGGCACAGATTGTAGGGAATGAGACATTTCACAACTGCTCAAGACCTGGAAAAAGATGAAATACAGAAATCAGCTGATGCCATCCATAAGGACTGTGGATGAGGGGACAGCCTTGCCCAGCTGAAGAGCAGCATTTTCTCCTGCCAGCCCTTCACATCCCTGGTGCCCAGGCTGTGGCAGGGCTGTGCTCTCAGCCAGGGTGCTGCTGGCTGCCCAAGTGCCTCTCCCAGCAGCAGCACAGGAGCCAGATCCAGCCCAGCAGGCCCCTGGCATGGACTCTCCTGGCTCAGGAGGACTCTGCCAGCAACAGGATGTGAGCAGAGAGGCACATGGGGAGATGTCAGACTGACAGACCCCCAAAGTGAAAGGGCTCCTGGCAGAGGGAAGGCAGGAATGTGCTGCTCCATTAGTGCTGAGGGAAGAAGAGTCATGGAGCAGCTGCAGGCACTGATGGGGACATTGCAGCCAGGAGCTGGAATGATCCTGGATTGCAGTGCCAAATCCTCATTAATTAACACCCAGAGTGTCTCATTCTGCAGCACCTGCTGGACCCTCTCCATCTGCTGCACCTGGATCTGTGGGAGCAGCAAGGGCCATCTTCCCACTTCAAATGGGGTAGAGAGCACTGAAAAATCCTTTGGGGCATTCTGTTAATCCCCAAGCTACTCTGGGGCATCACAGGACTAATCAGAAGTCAGATATGCTGAGATAGCTGCCTGCAGGCTCTGGTGATGATGCAGGGCAGGGCTTGGCCCCTTCTTCTCTGGGGATAAAGGAAATTTGGCTGGAGCCACTCTGCTATGAACACAGGCTGAAAGACTTTGGGGTGTTCAGCCTGGAGAAGCAAAGGCTCTGAGGAGAACTTAGAGCTACTTCCAGTGCCTAAAGATTCTCCAAGAGAACTGGAGAGGGACTTGGGACAGCGGCATGGAGTGACAGGACAAGGGGCAATAGATTTAAGCTGAAGGAGGGTAGATTTAAATTCAATATTGGAACAAAAATCTTCATTGTGAGGGTGGTGAGACCCTGGCAGAGGTTGTCCAGAGAAGCCCAATTCCTGAAAGTGTCCAAGGCCAGGTTGGATGGGGTTTGGAGAAACCTGGGATAGTGGGTGGTGTACTTGCCTGTGGCTGGGTGAAAAGGTTCCTTCCAGCCCAAATCATTCCATGATTCTATAATCTCTAGCAGGTTGATTACAAAACAGCACTGAGCTGGACTAGGCAGCTTTCAAACCCAATGAGCATGGTAAACATCTTGCCATTATATCCAAAACCAGAGTCAGAATCCACTTCTGGGATGAATAATTGCAATATACTTTGCTCAGTAATTTCCATTTGCTGCCATTTGACCCACAGGAGTGCAGAAATTCTTCTCACTCATAGTTTTGATCATGGACACTATTGTGTTTCTCTCAAGTAGAGAGTGAATTTGTCTCATGCCTGAGAGTGTCTCAGAACTGGGTCTTGCATGGTTTGAAAATTAGTTAAATTTGTGCAAGGCTTGAGACAAGGCTGGATGTAATGTCCCAGTGGACTGAAATGAATTGCTTGGTTTAGAATGACACCAAGCCCAAGGGAGTCACCAGCACTTAGAAAATAAACTGTATTATGGCTTTAAGATCCAGGGATTCGCCCAATGTGAGGGACGATAATTGAGGAGATTTACCTCTAAGCACAGCTATTTCTTCTGTGAAAGGGCAAAAGCCAGAAATAATAAAGAGGAAAGAGGCAGGAGACGTGGGATTTGGTTCAGAGATGCCATTCATTCATCCAGTGACACAGGAGCTCTTCTGAATATGGAGATTGCAAAACCCCAGCCAGGTCTGAGGGGGAGGTTGGTGGCATGGTGGGCTCTTCACACCACAAACTGCTGATGGAGGAGGCTCCTGTGTCTCTGCAGGCTTCCCCTGTCCCACTTCTGGCCTCCCAGAAAGATTTTGGGACCTAAACTTGGAGTGTTTAGCTACCAAAACCCCCAGCTGCCTGCCCCTGAGGGACTGGGTGCAGAACTGGGGAGGCTGCTCAAGGTGGATGGAGAAATGCAAAGGCACCAGCGGTTCATGGAGCATCCAAGCAGGCAAGGGAGCAAGAATGGTTGGGATCTGTGTGCCTGAGAGGGATGTGCTGGAGTCTGGGATACTCTGGATGGCAAATGATGAACTGATGGTACCATAAATGTAATTTGCTGGAGGTGAGCTTGGAGCATGGCAGGACTCTGGCTCTGACAGAGCTGGATGTTGGAAAGGCAGGAAAATTGCCATGGAAATGCAGATCTCTCTCTAGCAGATCTGATACTTGTGAAACAGGACATGGGACTGATGTTTTCCTGGAGCCCCAAAGCCTCGAAACACACAATGTCTCCTACACATCCCAGGGAAAGACCAGTGGTCCATAACTTTCATCTAACTGGGACCAACTGGGCAGAATAATGAAATAAAACACAAAAGGAAACAAAGGATTTTGAGCAACTTTGGCTTAATGAACAACAGCAGTTGCATCTCATGATAATCATTGCAATGGCACAGATGAGGTAGGGAAAGATTGATCCTCACCTCCACCTCTTTCTGTGTCCAGACAATAAATGAAGGAGTGAAATCCTATCAATTTTGCAGCAATGACGGGTCTTCCTCTACACTTTTCCCCCTCAACACATATTAATTCAACAGGCTCCAATCAGTGGGTGTATTTTTAATTCCCAGCTGCTGGAACGATAGGAGACATTCAAAGCAGATGTGCTGAAAAGCATGACACAAACCAAACAACACAGATAACTACCAAAAAAATCCCAAAGAGCAGATTGATGAGAGCCACAAACGCTTGAAATTTCATTGCATGTGGAAAACAGTAGTAAATAAACATAAATAAATATCAATAAAAATAAACAGATAAACAAACAAACAAATGAATAAATAAACCACCTCGAGGAAAAACCCAGACATGAACAGTTCTAGGCAATATTTGGAAATTTGGTGGTCACCAACTTTTACAGTCCCCACCACAGTTCCTGCTCTGACATTTTCATGCAGCTGGTTTATAACCCTCACTGAGATCTCTTTCCTTCTCCACATTGCAGCCCGACAGTTTAATATAGCATCCTCTGCCCAGCTTTTTTAGGGAATGGGGTGGTGGTGTGGGCTAGCACATCCAAGCTCCCTGGATGACCCTTGGAGTCATATTTACCACTGCTGTGATCCTTCATATCTCCCACAGTTTGCCAAATGCATCCTTTTGGGATGAGGCACGGAGCATTCTGAGGTTCTGAAGAATTTGACACAAGAAGGGGTTGCCCCTCTGTTATGCTGGTATTTATTTTTTGCCATATGCCTGTTTCTATACATACCAAATACTACATTTCAGGTTTATTATGTGTAATATTAGCAATCCATGAAAAATCCAAATACCCAAACAATGCATGGCTTGATTAAATAGAACAGAGCCAGCTTTTGTTTCCATGTGGGGAAGAAAATAATTTTTCTTCAAGGGGTAGAATATTGCTATGAAAACTAATAGAAAACCATCCTTTCCCTGCTCATTTCACACTTAGGGTGACTTATTTGGAGGTTGTGGCTGCTGAAACAGCCCTAGCAGGAATATTAGTGACAAAGGGAATACATCTCAGTGCTTTTCACTCCCATCAATGGGATATTTTTAGTTGCTTTTCCAATGCTGCTCCATCAGATAAGCAGTTGATAGGGAATGTGTGATGCCCTGGAAGAGTCATCCTTGTTCCATGTCACATGCTCACAGCAGATCTCCACAGGTAGAGGAGATGCCAAGAAAACTTTTGGGGATTTCATCAGCTGACCCTTCTTAGGCACCATCACCTTCTACTTTGTCAGCTCCTCCTCTGCCAGTCTGCACTGGCAGGGGTTGTGAGAAGGCAGGAAAAGGGGTTGAACACTTAAAAGTGAACAATTTATGGATACATTTACTCTGTCTAATCCCTGTTGGTACAATCTCTAAATGGAGTTTCCCTATCCCAGCTCACAAGGTTCTGGAGTGCCTACGCCACCTTCAGAGGTGGAGTTTGCCCTTCCCAATGACCCGATGCTTCCACAGCATCCTTTTTCTTTTTTTCTTTTTTTTTTTTTTCCATAATGTGTGCATCCTACAGCTCTACACAGTACCAAAAAAAACCCTTTAGCCCATTCTAAATCTCACATTTTCTCCCCAGTGCCCTCACAGCCTCCCACCCATCTTTCACCCCACCTGCAGGACACATTGCAGCCTCACAGATCTCACAGCCGGTCCAGCGTAACTTGGAAACTTCTTCCCTGGAGATGCAAGGGTGCCACATCCTCACCTTGTGTTCCAACCCCCACAGGTGACCCTGCAGCAGAGGAGTGGTCCCCGTGGAGCGTGTGCTCGACCACGTGTGGGGAGGGCTGGCAGACCAGGACCAGGTTCTGCGTTTCGTCTTCCTACAGCACCCAGTGCAGTGGCCCTCTCCGGGAGCAGAGACAGTGCAACAACTCTGCCGTGTGCCCAGGTACTGGTGGCCAGCAGGAGAGGGAGACTGGCTACCTGTGGTGTCTCCACTGTGATATTTCAGGGAGGCCCTGGTACAGGTTGCCCGGAGAAGCTGTGGCTTTTTCATCCCTGGAAGTGTCCGAGGACAGCTTGGATGGGGTTTGGAGCAACCTGGGATAGTGGGAAGTGGTTGGAATTAGATGATCTTTCAGTTCCTTTCCAAACCATTCTATGGTACTGTGATTCTTGGAGGGAGATGGTTTCTCTTCCTTGTTCCTTCTCTTTGTTCTTTAAGGCCTGATACAGAGACTCTTGCTAGACCAAGCACCACAAGATGGGCACCTGCTTTGCATGGTGTGGACAATTCCATGCTATCTGAAGTCCATGAACTCAGTACTCCTGCAGACAGGTGCCCTTTGGGGTGTTTCCAGGTTGGGAACAATTTTGGTGAAAAAATATGTTCTGAGGAGACTGGAGCCTACAAGAAAGATGGAGAGGGATTTTTTACAACAGCATGGAGTGACAGGACAAGGGGGAATGTCTTCAGATTGGAAGGGAATAGGTTTAGATTGAATATTAGGAAAAAATCCTCCCCTGTGAGGGTGGTGAGGCCCTGGCATAGCATGCCCAGAGAAGCTGTGGCTGCCCCATCCCTGGAAGTGTCCAAGGACAGCTTGTATGGGGCTTGGAGCAGCCTGGGATAGTGGAAGGTGTCCCTGCTCATGGCACGAATTTGGAAGGAGATGATTTTTGAGGTCACCTCCAACCCAAACCATTCTGTGTTTCTATAATTATTTTGAAGAATTTTGCTGTTAAACTAAACATGTTATTCATTTCTCCTGACCAGCAACATCATTGTTCAGAAACAATTCTATGATGGTGAAACTGCCATCCATGGTGAAATCACCATCCATGTTCTTTGCTGTGTTTCCTCCTCTGATTATCTTTTGTCATGCAACATGCCTGGTGAGAATTAGTTTTTCACCCCCTTTCCTGACATCGGGGCACTAGTCGCTGTTAACAACTGATGAAGGACTGGAAAAGTCCCTGTTTATTTGTTTTTCTTCTTTTTCTGAAGGATTATTGATTTGGCATTAGCTTCTCTGGTAAAGCTGGAAGGGATGAAGTCCCTTTAGAGAGATCAGTGCATTCTTATAACATTTGGCCTCTGGAGATTATAGTGACTAAAATTCCATAAATAACTTGGCCAGATTAGATTAGATTAGATTGGAGAAGATTAGATTAATATAGATTAGAAGGCCAATTAGATTAGATTAAAATCAATTAGATGTCTAAATCCAGGATCTACCAGTGATGTCTTGAGCACTGTTGGAGGATGTTGCCCCTTCCATTTTACCCTTCCAAGTCTCCCTAACTTTGCTCTGAGGTGTTACTGACCTATGATAATAATCAGTAGACAGACTGCAGCTTCTCTGAAAGCCTTAAAATGTTGTAGTCTTTTAGGATTCGATGAGAAAATGTTGGGAGGGAGGAAAAAAAGGGCAGGAAGTGACAAAATTATGGTGATGATGCTTCCCTAAGGCTAGTAGGGTTTTATTTCTTTCTAGCTAGATCCATCTTTTGCTTAAAAAATGCCCTGTTGGCTCAAAACTCTGAAAAATTAAGGTCAGCTAAAAGTGCATTTTGGTTTATTTCAAAGACTGGAAAGCAGCAGACACTTGGTGTTGATAGCAAAGCAGAAAAATTACTTGATGTTCCTCTTGCACATTTTGGGTTGGTTTGTTCTCCAGCTTCCCACACGCTGCTCATTCCGGGTGGGAAGAAGCTGTGCCCTGTGGGCTCCTTCACTTCCTCAGGCCTCCTATAGAAAAGAAAAGTCACTTCTTCTGCTTCCCTTGCAGTGCACGGCACCTGGGACGAGTGGTCTCCATGGAGCCTGTGCTCTTCCACTTGTGGGAGAGGCTACAGGGATCGGACCCGCACCTGCAAACCCCCCCAGTTCGGTGGGAACCCCTGTGAGGGCCCGGAGAAGCAAACCAAGTTCTGCAACATCGCTCTCTGCCCAGGTAGGGACAGTTACAGATCTGAAACCTCCCCTCCAGCAGGTCTCCCCAGCTCAGTTTCCCTCACATGGCTCATCAAGGTCTGTAGCTGACTCCAGTGAAATTCTGAACTACCCCAAGGAGGATCCTGAGGAAAGGATTCATGGAAGAAGCAGCCCAGAGGTGCTTTGTGGGGTTGTTCAGCTCAGAGATGGCTCAGGTTCAGGTTTGCCCTGTGTGATCTCTTGCAGAGGACACCTTACGTGGGTTGGATCTGGCTGCCACTCCTATTTCCGAGACCATCTTAAGCTTCTCACCTGTACTTCCCACTGAATGATTTATTTTGCCTGAGTGGGTTTGTTGTGCTGAAATTAATTAATAGTTTTACTTGCCTGTGCATTAATTCAATGTAGATGCAAGTTTTCTCTGTGGCTGATCCTGCTCTGGGTGGTAAGATAAACTAAGAGACTCCTAATGGCCTCCCATGCCAAATTTAATCTTTTTATCTTTTCACTGCCCCTGAATTTCACTTCCAAATGCCTCTCCTCGAGTTTTGCTTTGAAACATCAGAAAGAACCTCAAGGTGAAATTACTTTCACCACCTGGAAATCCACCTATGCTCCAGAGACTTCTTTCCTCTGACAGGCCCTGGGTTTACAGCAGAGTCCCCCTTAATTTAACCCTGGGTATCCTGGTGAACACAATCTGTACATAAGCGAGCTCCCCAAAACTCCCTTCCCATCCCTGGATAATGTCAACTGACATTTTTCCAGTTTAATGAGAATCATTATGAGACATTATTATGTCCCTGGAGGAGGAGAGGGATTGTGGGAGGGATGAGAACTTTGTGAAAACAGTGAGAAGCCTCCTGGCATTTCCCATCGAGTTTTCACTCCAAGTAACTATCCTTGGATATTTGGCCGCTGTCCAGAAGACTCTACTTGGAATAAGAACCTCCCAGACACCAAATTGACTCTGTCATAAAAAGACAAATTTAAGAAGTCAGAGCTGGCATTGCTTGGGCAATAAAGCATACCCTGAGTTAACATTGATCCATAATTAATTTAAATACAAATAAATACGTGCCTAAAACAGCGGTGGAAAAGACAAGCAGCCCGACTGCAAGGCTTCAGCTCTAATTAGTGCCACAAAGGCAATCAGCGGCTTGGCAGCGCCAAATGAGAGCGGCGTTGGGGGAATCATTGAAGCACAACAATGGGTGTTTGACACCCCAGACACTCTCAGTGTTTATTACCACCCTGCTCCGAGGATTTATGGCTAAAGCTGATAAAAATGCTCTGCTGCGGGGACAACAGGGCCTTTGTCCCTCCTGAGATGTGGGGAACAGGCTAGGCCTCACATCCTAGGCCGCAGGCTAGGCCCCAAGTCCTTGGAAAAGGGAGAAAGGAGGAAGACAATGCCTTCACCACACAATGAACATTTTTGAGAGATTCCCACCGTGGTGTGACCACGGCACCAAGCCCTCCTTTGCTGTGGCTGTGATGGGAACCCCTCAGCATCCTGACCAAGAGGCATCTTTGCATCACTGCAAGGTGGCTGGAGGGGCAGCACAGCCACCTTTGTTTCTCCTTTTTAAAAAATGTTTCTGAAATTACAGCCTGTGAATAACTACGAGGAAATTACCTGTTCCCAATCCCCCACTGAACGATCAAATTATGGACTTGGCTTCTTGATTTTACCATCTCCAAATGCTTGCATTCCTGATAAGCTGCCAATCACCAGCAGCAGGGAGGTGTTGGGAAAATTCAACTTTTTTTGATAAATGCAGTTTTTTGGTAAATATCATATTTAATGTGGCAAATACAGTCTCACTTTTCTAACAAAGGGAAATGTTAAATGAGGGGCAGACACCATCATTATTAGGAAGACATTCTTCCCTGTGAGGGTGATGAGGCTAGAAAAGCTGTGGCTGCCCCATCCCTGGAAGTGTCCAAGGCCAGGTTGGACAGGGCTTGGAGCAACCTGGAATAGTGGAAGGTGTCCCTACCCATGGCAGAGGAGTAGAATTAAATGGTCTTTACCTTTCCAACCCAAACCAACCTGTGGTTTCATGATTTTATGATCAGTCTATGGAAATTTAGCAGCACAGCCTTCAGTCAGAAAGCCACGCTAATTTATACCTGGTAGGACCTACTTTGTGGAATTTTGGATCATTTCCAAAGAATAATCACCTGTCAAACACTGTGTTTCACATTTTCCCTTGTTGGGATTGATAGGCACTGGTACAAAGCCTTGAATTTATGCACAATAAAAACATAAATGGTTGGATTGTTGAAAACAAGCACCTTTTGGAGATGCCTTTATGCCTGCTTGATTTTGCACACCTTGTGATTCCCTTTGAGTTAACAGTTGCTCATTTGGATGCTTTTAACATTTTTTTAACTGAGTTTGCAAACAAAAATCTTCTCAATTGCAATGGGGATTACACAGGGCTGATCAATTCCTTGCAGGTTACGCAGGGGACCAGTTGGAATTTATTTTTCTTGGACAGAAAAGCAAAGCCAAAAAAAAAAAAAAAAAGAGCTGAATGTGATTTGAGCCAGAATTCAGACTTTTCAGAGATTCAGGTTGTTTTTCCGGAGTGAGATTTGGCAGCTAATTAGACCTAAACAGAGCATGATGACCACTGTTAATGAGAAAAATGCTCCAGGAAGAGCAGACTGGGTGATGGATCTGTTGATCAGGGACCAATTAGGATGTAGCCGCCACACAGGGAAATGCATCAGTCCATACCATGATAATAAGATGTATTCCTGTTTCTCTCCAACCCCGTCCCTATCATAATCTCCCTTGTCCCTCCCTCTTCTATTTAATTTTCAAAGACACTGCTGAGTGAACATCTCCAGCCTGTCAGAGTTAATTCAGCTGTGAGAGAAGTACATTGACCACACACGCTCACCCTGTTCCCAGTCCTCTGCTGGAGCACACCTTTGCTCCCACATTTCCCAGCCATGGAATGGTGGATTGCTGTCAATAACACTGTGATTTGAGTTTCTGGCTGTGCTTAAATAAGAAACAGCATTTGCATGCTTGAGAAAGTTCACTCTCCACAGATTCATGCACGGTTTGCTGAAAAATGGGTCCCCTAAAAAAGTGCTGAGGGCCCTAAATGGGAAATGTCACAGTAATGTAGTGATCCCTTCAAAGTGTTCAGTGAAAACATGAGCCACGATCTCTGGTGTGGTGTTGTGTTATGATTGGCAATGTTATTAGTTTGGACTTTCATGTCGGAATGTGGAATATCAATAATTTCAACTTTTATGATATTATGCATTGTGTGGAACATAAAAATTAAAATGTTACCGCACATTAAAATGTTACTTGTACCTTGTGGGACTGCTGGAGGCTTCAGAGGGTCCTGAGAATCCCTGTTGCCACAGTTGTCCAAACTTTTTTTGATAATCTCTGCCCTCTTCCAAGCTCTGTGGCTCTGGTTTGATCTCCCCCTCTGTCCCTGGTCGGCAAAGGCCAGCAGCTCTCACCCCGCTCCTCTTCCCAGAGGGAAAGGTTTTCACATTCCACTCGTTTTCTTTCTTTGGGCCACTCAGTGGACGGCAACTGGAACGAGTGGTCGAGCTGGAGCTCATGCTCCGCTTCCTGCTCCAACGGGACCCAGCAGCGGACGCGGGAGTGCAACGGGCCCTCCTACGGCGGAGCCGAGTGCCAGGGACACTGGGTGGAGACCCGGGACTGCTTCCTGCGCCAGTGCCCAGGTCAGTGACAATGCCTTCTGCTTTCTTTTGGTCCACCTTCCTCTGCAATCCCAATAAAACGTTTGTTTCGGGAAGACTTGTGTCCTTTCTGGTGCATCCGGATCATTCCAACAGACCATGGCTGTTCGTTTTTGGTTTCTGTTTTGTTTTTTTGTTAAAGTTGGGATTGAAAGTGTTCGAGACAGTATTTCGTCTTCAGGTTTAAATGTTTATTGTTTCTTATCTATATTACAGTCTTACAAGTTGTGAGTTTTACAGCATTCTACTAACTAGCTATAAAACGGTTAACTATATTTTTCTATAAGTTTTTTTAAGGTTAAATTATCTAATTAAGAACTGATACTTAAATTATTTTCACTTTTAACCAATAACTAATTCCTTGAAGTCCACAATGTGGATTTCTCTAACTAATTACAAAATACCACCCAAACCCATGAAGAAGAAGGTGAAGAAGAAGAATTAGCTACTGTTCTAAAGCAGAAATCTGTGCCCCTCAACACAAAAAACTTAAAACTCTTAGTATCCAAAGTTCCAACATATGCCAGCCAAAACCCACCACAGACAAATATTTTAGGAGACACCAGAGAGGTGAGTGATTGCCCGCAGAGAATGTGCCTTTCTGACCTTAGATATCCGCTTTTCAGCATGAGCTTAAAAAACTCCCATGAAAATATCAATGAAGCCCTTCCCTTGCCTCCACAGGGCTTCAGCTTCCCTCCTCTTTTTGTTTTGTTCCTCTCCTCCCACCATTTCAACATTCCCAGTTGTATTTCAGGCATTGTATCTCAGCTTTAAACTTTATCAGTGAGAAGGTCTGTCATGTCTGTGTAAGTTTTGTCGCTTACTTCACTCACCTGTGACTTAATAATAATGTCAGCAATAACAGTAATAACAACAGTAATAATAATAATTCCTACTGGAATCTATCCTGGTCTACCTATTTCTTCGGGGGATCCCTTTACACTGTGGTAACATCATTATCTGCAGTGTTTAACAGAGGTGTTGAATTTTCCTACATGGTCTCAAGTTGGTTTTGATGTTTAGCAATCTCACTCTTTCTTTGCAACTTAGGAAGATCTTTAAAGACAAAAAGGGGCTTCAGAATCCCTTTTAAGACAACCTTGTCTCACTGATTTCAGAGTTATCTGTCAAAGCAATTTAGGCCATACTTTCCACTGCATAAAATATCACTAAATAAAGTAGCAGGATTTGGTGATGCCCCTCTTTGGAGTAGGCATGGCTGTCCCACCCTCCCAAAAGGAATTATTCAACCCAAGATGATGTGGTAATTCAAAATTAAAGCCCAAGTAGTAAAGAGCACATTTAGGCTCTGCTCTAGTTCTGTCACTGAGTTGTTGTGGTACAGCAGAGGAGAATGTTTCCCTACCTTGCAGGCTTGTTGTGAGGGCTAATTAACATTTTTATGGTGCTTTGATAAATGCCATTGTTAATGTAAAAGAAGCAGAATTTTGATAAATGTCATTGTTAACATAAAAGAAGTCACATTTCCACTGGATCTGGAAAGATGCTGGGAGAAGACACAATGGAATGAGACAACATCCCAAACCTTTTTCAAAGGCACGCGAAGCATCAGTGCAATGGAAACAGCTGGAGAGAGGTTTATTTTAGGTCTCTTCATGGTTTTTTGCCCAAGGGCTCTGCTGATCTCTCTAAATCCCTGAGCCAGACCTTCCTTGGGAAGGTCTATTTTCACACATATATTGCACATTCCCAGTGAACTCCAGATGTGGAACTGGCATGGCAGATGTGGCAGCCAGGTTAAATCCCTGCCCATGGGAAGAGTGTTCAGGAGCACAGCCCCAAATCTCAGCCTGAGGAAAGAGATGGAGCTGCTTTTGCAGAGCATGGAGGTGCTGAGGAAGAACACAAAACCACCCTTGGACTGATGGGATGGGAATGGGAACACTCTGATTTAATGTCTGTTAAGGATCAAATCAAGATCCAAAGCAGGAGACCTCCCTTCCTACCAAACCCTGCCCTACTCACTCTATGCTCCTCTGCTCACCTTTGGATCTTGATCCCTTCTGTTGCAGATGATGTCTGGGATGTAACAGGCTGTTTCTCTTCTTTTTCTTCCTTTCTTTTTCTGTTTCCAGTGGATGGGAAGTGGCAGGCCTGGGGAGTGTGGGGCAGCTGCACCGCCACGTGTGGAGGTGGCACTCAGAGACGTGACCGGGTGTGCTACGGCCCCTTCTTTGGTGGAGAGACTTGCCAGGGTCCCAAGGAGGAGTACAAGCAGTGCAATGACAGAAAATGTCCTGGTATGTACCCCAGACCCCTTGTGCTTTCCTTTGAATGAGGCAGAATTTTGGAATTTTGCATTTTGGGAATGGCTTCCTTGTCCCTTGTCAGAGATCTGAACGCTACGAAGGGTTGTAATCTAATAAAATCCTACCCATGATCCAGGCATAAGGTACAAGGTCTTGATTTAACTGCTGCAGAATCCAGTGCAACCGTGTTGGTTTCAGTGAATATTTGGTCGATCTCACCAGCTCTGCCTTGGTGGTTTCATCTTTTCATTGCTATAGAGTTACAAGAGGAAAAGAGACACTGTTTGGTAGCAAAAACTGGTATCAGAGTCTCAAATCTAGGAAGCTGTTGAATACTAAGAATGTTGCACAGGTTTCCCACCCTTTACCTCTGGGAAGCCTGCACACCACTAGAAATTTTTAAGAAAAAGATGTGTCTGCATCTGCCAGAGCTTTACCCAAACCTTATCCTCCTGCAGAGTATAAAAGCTGAATGGAGGGTGAGTGAGCTGTAGGGCAGATAAAACCTGGATTTGGATATGAAAAATAAGCTGGAGTGAACACTTCCAAGTGGGAATGTTTCTGTCTGCCTCTCAGACTATACAGAGACCGAAAAGAAGGCTGTTCACCATTTCTGCTTTCTTCCTCAGTCTGAGTTGAAGGGCCTGGTGAAATTGCTGGTGAGGAATCAATGGCCTTTGTGATGCTTGCAGTCAGATTGCATCGATTGTAACAGGCCATGAGCTCTGACTGAAAGGGTAATTAATTGTCAGAGCAGCTCAGTGAGAGACAGGAGAGATTCTCATGGCAGTATCCCAGCATTCCTACTGGAAAGAGGCACCTCGCTAAAGGACAGGAGGCAGCAGTTTTGATGCAGGAGAACCTGGGGGCAGATCTGCCACGTGGAGGCCAGGCCAACCACTCAGACTCCCTCACAAAGTGCTGGAGACAAAGAGATGAAAGCCAAAGGACTTCAGCATGGAAGTTTCAGCACGTTCAGCTCGGAGATGACAGAGAAAGAGGCTGTGTGACAGCCTCGTCACTCTTTCCAGCTACGCTCTTAATGAAAGGCATCACCTCTCCTTACAAGCTGTGCGTCTCAATTAGCAGTAGCGTGTGAGAATCTCTTCTAACTCTGCCACAAAGCTCTCCCTCGCCACAGAAAATCTTAGCACCGGGTTGTCTGGTGGTGTCTACAGAGTAAGGCAGATTTAGTTCAGCTTCAGTATGTGCCAGCTGGGGCCCTGGCAGAACAAGCCCGATCTTTTCTTCTCTTTAAGCAGGGGTTGATGCCTGTGCAGTGCTCAAAAGGAAAAGGCAAGTCTCAGGCACTGGGGCCTGCCAGGGTTCACAGCCAGAAGGGTCTCGCTGCAGTTGTTAATTTGCAAGGGAAGGAAAAGGTGGGGAAACATCAGAGGCTAAAAATAAACCTGCTCAATTTGTTCTCCAGAAAGTATCACATGTTGGCGTGATTCGATTTGAGCAGAAGAATTGAACTTAATTGGGTTAGTTATTAAAATCTCCCAGTGCAAATAGGTTACTCTGGTAAAAGGGATTTTGTTGTGAAGCAACATCAAAAAGAAAAAAAAGAAGAAAAAAGGAAAGGATTCTCTCCTGGTCTGGGAATTGCTCCTGTGCTCACTGGCAAGATGCTCCAATCAGTGTATTTTTAAAGAGCATCTCTGATCCACAGCATCCCTCAGTGGTCCCCAGGGACACTGCAGGGGTGAGGAGACCAGCAAGTTTTGACAGGCCAGTGGGGGAGAAAGGGGAGGAGAGATGTGAACATTCTCCTTCTCTGCTTTTTCCTGTGCTCTGCTGCTTTGTAGCTGAGGGTGCTGGAAGCTTCCACACCCCAGAACCCTCCTGTGAACCTGGGACAATCTGTGACCGTGGTCAAAGCATGGGGAGAAGAGTTTGGAAATCAGCTCCCTGCTCTGGGACAGGCTCTGTGGGTGACAAGTGCTGTCACAACTGGGTTATTCAATCTCTATGCCCCACAGCTCCATGTCAGCAGGCTGGAAATGAAACTCCCTCTTTTCCACCCCTGTTCTGGCTTATCTGCAGAAGCCACGAGCTGTTGGCTCGGGGATGAGCCCTGCTCATGTTGCAGAGCACAGCTGGGGTCCCGCTGCCCGCCGGAGTTCCACCACAATGGTGATTACTCACAAGGGAACTTTAAACCAGGGGAGGCAGCATCTGTTTCCAGGCAGAGAATTCAGCTTATTCATTCCCACTATCTACTGGGGAGGAATCCATCTTAGAACTGCAGCTGGGGCTGGGGCTGGGGCCAGTCTTGGAGCCTGCTTGCAGGAGCAGTGATGTGCAGGCAGCTTGTTGGGTCCTGTAGGAGTTCTTCAAAAAAGGAGGACTTGCCATGCTCATAATTTAGGTTTGAGCCCTCCCCACAGCCAGGTTGGTCCCTGGGTAGTCCCAGAGCAGCAGTGGGACATGTCCTGACCAGCTGCAGGCACAAACTCATCTTCCTTTATTCTGGAAATTTTACATGCACAATGAATAAAAACTGTAATCAGAAACTATTAAATCAAGTTTTTTCTCCTTCCCTCCATCAGGAGTGACAAATAGCTTTAACACCATCCTCATGGCTCCCTCCGCTTTACATGCTGTAAATAATGAGTTTCTCAGCACAAAGACCTCCTGTGGTGAATGTTTTTCTCCCAGATCCCACCAACTCTAGGACCGACTCAGCTCCACCCACAGACAGAAGCTTGCAAAACCATCCTTCCAATGATTTTTTTTTTCTGTGATGTCTCAAAACACATTTCTGCAGGCTCCTGGGCTCTGCAGCAGTGCTTGGAAATGAGCTGCTGATGCAGTTCCAAGTTGTTGGGGCTCAGATCTGCTTTCTTTTGTGCACAGGATGGCAGCAGGCAGAATGAAGACCACCCAGGGGATGTGTCCATCTTGTCTTTTCATTTGCTTGTTCTTTCCTTCATTCTTAATCCACTGATTCATGCCAAGCGTCATTTTAGATACATCCAACACTGAAGGTGGTGACCCTAAGGGATGGAAGAGTTGGAGTTTGGAGCCATGGAGTTCACTCACGAAAGATCTGCCCATTAAAAATTAAGAAATAAAACTCTTTAGTAGATGGTAGCAACAGCAGTTTTCTTGCGAAGAGCTGCCCCAAGGCAAGACAAGGATGTGAGTGGACTTTCCCATGGATTTTAGTGAGCTAATCCTTGGTATGGATGAATGCCCAGTTTTCAGACAGGCAGAGCAAATTCCAGAGAGGTGAAGTGACTTTGTGAGGGACTAAGCACCGGCAGAGCTGGGAGTGCAGCTCCAACCTCCTGGCTCACAGACCATGCTCCCATGCTTCCCTTTTCATGTCCTTGCTGAGGAGGAAGCTTTACAAACAGAGTTTTTCTCTCCTGGCAGAGCCCCATGAAATCTGTGATGAGGAGAGTCTCGGTCCCGTGGTTTGGAAGGAGACGCCAGCCGGGGATGCTGCCGCCGTCCGGTGTCCCCGCAATGCCACTGGTAAGGGTGACAGCATGGTGGGCAGGTGGTGCCTCATCAGGGGATCCTTCATCCTTTGTGTCCTAGGTGAGGAGAACCTGGTTGTGGGATGACAGGACAGGCGCATGGACTTCCCTCCCTTTGTCCATCGCTAAATTAACTCTCTCTGGGTTTCTGTTTTCACTGTAAAGCACAATCACCTTAGTTGTTTCTGGATAATCTGAGGTGGTTTCCATCTGCCCTGTGGAAAGTTTGAAATTAAGGAACACTGGGACATGTTCCCTCCATTATCTGCAAAAGGCTTTGCAGAACAGGTAGGGGTTTAGAGTCCTGTGGGTTTGGGTGTTGTAGTTCTCTCCAGTGCCCCTAAAAGCAGCTGCTGTACAAGAGCAGGAAATCTGAATTCCATTGTCCACTTGCACTTAAAAACCTCAGCATATCTCTAAAAATTTCTTGGAGCATTCAAGTTGAAGGTCTGATTGTTCTGGTGTAAAGTAAAAGGATATGGGCATCAAGGTGTTACCTGTGGCCAGAGGAATGCAAGGTGGTGCAGAGAAGGCTCCAGGAGTGATGTTGGTGGTGGGATTTGTCCTCAGCTGGATGTTCCTCACTGCCAGGCAGGAACAGAAATAATGGCAGCAGTGTCAATATGTGTAAAGGTTTTATTTTGTTTGAGGGAGAGGGTTGGATACAGACAGCTCTCTTTGACTCAGCTGGGAAAGTCAGTGTCATCCCCAGTGCTGTCCTAGAAGGGCTGTACCCAAAGAAAGGTCACTGAATCATTTGGCAGCAGCAATGGGACTGCAGACCCAGCAAACCTGATCCTGAGAGACTTTCCAAATGGCATCATGATGGCTGGGACAGGGTGATCCCTCTCCCTTTCCTCCTCTCTGATACATCTGTTCCTCCACATCACAAGGCATGTGATTATCACTGAAAATTATCCCCTCTGTGGATTGGAGCTGAGGGGAGGCCTGGAGGAGGACTGGAAGCAGCTTTCAGAGAGTTTCAGCGGATGCAAAACTGGTGCTGTCGGGTGTTTATTCCCCTCCAGGCTGCGTGGGCAGCACAAGCCCTGCTTTAGTTGCAAGTACCAAACCAAACCACCTGGGGAGGCTCGTGGGGCTTCCCAAACCAGGAAGAATGCTGTCACCAGGGCAGGAGAAAAAAACCTTCCCTTCACCCTGACCAGCCATGTCCAATTTGTTAATTTTTGTTTTCCTGCCCAGTTCCTTCTGCTGCTCTGCAATAGTAACAGGCAGGAGAAGAAAAGAAAAATAATCCCCCTAAAGGCTTGTTCAAGCATCTGCAGGTGCCTCTGATGTCCTTTGTGCTGGTAGCTGAGTCTGAATTGGTGCATTGACCAGTTCTGGGTGATCTCCATCAAATCATGAAGGTTGGAAAAGACTTCTGAGATCCTCAGGTCCAACCATTAACCCAGCACTTCCAAGCCCACCACTAAACCATGCCCTCAAGCGCCACATCTGCACGTGTTTTGAACACTTCCATGGATGGTGATTCCACCACTTCTCTGGTCAGCTTGTTCTGATGCTTGACCACCCTTTCAGTGAAGAATTTTTCCTTGATATCCATTCCAAATCTTCCCTGGCACAGCTTGAAGCTGTGTCCTCTTGTCCCATGACTTCCTACTCATGACAAAAGACCCCATGAATGTTTGGCCTTTCACCCTGTCCTCACTCCCACATTTGTTTCTTTCATTCTTCCAGGGCTGATCCTTCGAAGATGCATCTTAGATGAGGAAGGCATTGCTTACTGGGAGCCTCCAACGTACATCAAGTGTGTTTCTATTGATTACAGGAACATACAGATGATGGTAAGGCAGCCCCCTGCTCAGTTCAGCAAGTTCGGGATTCTCCCCCGTGATTGTTACATGGCTAACGTTACAAAAAAGAAGGGAAAAAAAGGAATTTCCTGCTCTACCTTGATTTTCTCCTGTTTTTTTCTGCTTACCTTCTGATGCACAGGCACTCCATGGACAAGGGATGATTTCTTTCAGGATATTTTAATATCCAGCTTGGCAGAATCTGGGTTCTTCCAGGCCTTTCATATGACATTATCATTAAGTATAGCTATGACTGCATCACTTTTAAATAAGCATCTTATTTTTTGTTAATCTTAAATTCATTGTTATGAGGAATTTCTGCTGCTCTCCTGCCGCCTTTAGCAGAACTGACCTCTCCTGTTCATGATAAGGTACAGTCTGTCCTAAATTAGTTGCAAATTGATTGTAAGAAAACAAGATTTTGGGGAAAAAATATTCTATTGGGCTATGAACAGAAGAAACTTTGTAGTAGGACAATTTCTTCTTTGTGGGCAAAACAGAAAATTTCAGTTCTCAGTCATTTTAGAGCCACTTAGAAGATAATTTAGAACATATCACTCTTTTCTATCATTTTAAAAATATCAGAGGCTCTCAGGCCAGCAAAGATTGTCAGATTCATCTGATCTGCACTCTGAATTATGAAGGAGGTCAAAAACCTTCCCCTGGCAATTCCCTCACCGAGCTCATTAACTCGACTTTGACTGTCCCTAAAAGTGTTTCTCTGTTTCTCAGACCAGGGAACACCTTGCCAAAGCTCAGCGTGGGTTGATGGGAGACGGGCTGTCAGACGTGCTCCAGAACCTTGTGGAAATCTCTCAGGATGGGACCAGCTACAGTGGGGACCTGCTGTCCACCATGGACGTACTCAGGAACATGACAGAGATCTTCCGTAGGGCTTATCACAGCCCGACTTCTGGGGATGTGCAGGTGAGCCCAGGTGCATTTCCTGGAGCCCAAGGCTGGCTTAGAGAGGTGCCCATGCTCAGGGCTCCAGGTTTGATTACAGACACTGATCATAGCTGATACAGTGCTGATGACAATCAGGTTATTATTTTTCCCAACCTAAATGTCTTTGCATTACAAACTCTCATTTCGAGGTGGTTCTTCCTTGTTTTATAAACTGAGAACTTGAAAGCCAAGGTCACTCTGAACTATTTCAACACGATAGCACTTCACTGCAGAGCCTAATTGATATGAGAACATTATTTGGTAGGGATTTCAGGCTAATGACTCAAGGTAAAATAATCCTGTGGCATTGGGTTACCTGGGTGTTGATGTAGGGGAATATCATTGTGTTTTTTTATCCCAGGGCTTTATATCCAGCAGCTACCAGATACACCCTTGGGATGGGTCATCACCTCATGACTTGAAACATTAAACTGATCCTGCAGGATCTGCAGAGGGTGATAAAACTGGAGAAAAAAAAAATCAATAGTTTTGAATTTCCTGTCTCCTTCCTTCTCATGGTGTGCTGCAAAAGTCCTACCATGGACAGCTCCCTTGTGATCCATCTCTGCATCTCCTGCCTGGTCATAAGCTAAAGGTGATCCTGAGGTTTCCATATATTGGAAACAGAAGAAATAATAGGAAAAAAGATATATGAAAGGATTTATGCAATGGAAGATCATCTAGTTTTAACCAGTTTCTGATAAATATTTACCATATCTGTCCTTAAAAAGCATCAGTAATGGTTACAAGACCTATTCCCAATCCAATGCCTTAGAAGATACCGTAGTTAAAGTGAAATTGTTGGGAAAAAGGTCTTATTAAAACAAAAAAAAGGTCTTATTAAAACAAAAAAAAGGTCTTATTAAAAGGTCTTAATGTTTTGCCATTAACATCCTTGGGGACCTGTGAAATGCTCTGGAAACTTTTGGGAATGGGATTATGAGAACACTTTTGGAGAAACTTAAAACCTCACATGTGCCTCTCAGACTGCTGTGACCTTCCCAGCCTGGGCTATGTTTGCACAACAACCTCTTCTGTCCTCTCTTGTCTCCCTTCTCCAGAACTTCGTCCAGATCATCAGCAACATTTTATCAGAGGAAAACCGGGAAAAATGGGAGGAAGCTCAGCTGGTATGAGCCATCAGCACCTTCCCTGGGAATAAAGAGGCTTTCAGCAGAGGGTTAAGCCATGAGGAGGGGAATTTCCAAGCATCTACATGACCTCCTAAGAAGAGCTTAGTTCCAGGCTGAGTCACATTAAAGGAGTAACTCAGGGAGCCACAGGATCTCAGCTCTGAGCCAGACTCTCTGCATGAAGAACAGTGAAATGCTGGTGGTGTAAACCGAATTTGGCATGGCTTTCAAGGGTCAGACTTAGCTGGGAGTTGAAAATCCTCATGTCTTTCTGTAACTCCACTCTTTCTTCTTGCTAAGATGAAGAAGTGGGATCATGTAGCTTTGAGATCCTAGCTGGAAAGATGCAGGACTGGAGGGGTTTTCAGAGCTGGGGTCTGCTCAGCTGAGCTTCTGGGTTCAGTTGTGCTTTGCTTTATTTCTCTGAGCTTCTGGGTTCAGTTGTGTTTTGCTTTATTTCTCTCCAGTCAAGGTTAGGGATCCTGCTCAGTCCTGAGCTCCCCATTCATGGAAGTGTTCAAAGCCAGGTTGGAAGGGGCTTAGAGCAAGATGTGGAAAGTGTCCTTGCCTATGGCAGGAGCTTGGAATTAGATGAACCTTAAAGTCCCTTCCAACCCAGGCCATTCTAAGATTCTATGAATAATTCCATAGCTAAATTTTCAGGTATTAGGGGCTGATGTTGGTTTTTCTTTCTGTGTCTTATTTGGCTTTTGATTTGTGTGCCCCTTTTGAGCTCTCCATTTTGGAGTTGTGTCACACCTATTCCTGTGCCCCTTTGACATTCCTTTTGTGAGCTGTTGCTGTTGCAAAATTCCTCCAAAAGATCTGGAAACAGCAAATAATCAAGAAAAAAAAAATAACACACACAGTATAACGCACACAAAAAAATAACACACAAAGCAAGACCAGAGTCCAGTTACCTTCACACCAAACAGGGAAGTCCTCTGGGGAAAACTTTTTAACAAGTGCTAGCAATTGTTAAAAAGGCAATTGTTGAAAGTCCAAACATGAGACAGGGGCTCAAAAGCATTTCCATCATGCAACAGCAACTCTGTCAGGAGCTGAGCAACCTTCTCTTCTCTTCTCTTCTCTTCTCTTCTCTTCTCTTCTCTTCTCTTCTCTTCTCTTCTCTTCTCTTCTCTTCTCTTCTCTTCCTGATATCTTGTGCTTTCCTGTTGAATTTGGATGAGGGCAACATGGTCTGGCTGTGGTTGGGATAAAGAACTGGACATGGTCCTGGGCAAGGTGGCCCTGCTTGAGCAAGTGGGTTGGGTCAGATGGCCTTGAAGGCCCTTTCCAAACTAAACCATACTCTGATTCTGTGATTCTGTGCCCAAATACTTGGTCTCAAGCCTCCAGGTGCATGTTGGTATTTCAGCACTGAGCAGAGGGGACTGTCAAGTTGTCATGAACAGGGAAACACTGTTGATCCCCTTAAAAACAGCTCGCTCTATGTGGCACTTGGTTCCCAGTGGCTTTCCCTTGTGCAATCTGCTCTCTGCACCTCCAGGCAGGCACAGCCCAGCGTCACCATGACCTACACATGGATTGGGAACATCACGGGGAGAATGTTTTCCTGGTGTGTATTTTAGCGGGAATTGAGCTGACAGCCCAGCACCATGACTTTAGGACACAGAAATCTCCATTAACAGGATGCCAGCAGAGGTTTTAGCAGTCTCTGTGCTTCTCCCTTAAAGCTGCTGGACTAAAATCACATCCTGCATTTCATGAGATCGACCAATTCTTTTAAAACAAAGCCTTTGGCTCCCAATTTGCTCATTAAAAATAAACCCAACTTCATTGCAGTCACACATTCCAATGCCCTATGGCTCCCCAGGCAGAAAGACATTGTTCTAGGAAAATAAAAACTAAAACATCCCATAAAAGTATTTAGAGAAGGGCTACAGTGATTTTTAAAGAGCCTGTGTTGACCATTATATGATAAAACCTAAAATACTGCATCCAGTGCAGCCTGGATTTGGTTTGACCTTGTGATTTCAATCTGTAACAGAATATAAAAGTGTGCTAAAAATAGAATCCTCACTCAGCTCTCCTCCTTCTGTGCACACCTGCTGTACTGGCAGGACTTTTTAATCTCATCCTGAGACAGTTTTAGTCTTACCAAGGTTCCTTGGATAGACAGAGAGACAGAGACATGCCTGGCCACCCCTGTGCTCCTTGCCCACACTCTCCATGGCTCAACCTTCCTCCTGCCTCCTTCCCATCCTGCTTGTCCCCAGATGTCCCTCCAGCTCACTCAGCCACCTCAGAATGTCTGGATTATGGTGAGGAACTGAAAACGCCATGAAAGTGGTGGAAAAGGAAAAGAAGAGGAGCTGAACTGCTTTTCTTCAGCCTCTCGTGGCATTTACTAAGCCCCTCTGGGCAAACGTGCTTTGAGGAGAAGACAGGTAGTCAGCAGAGCTTGTTTCAGGTGGATTATAGTTTGTGGAATCTGCCACTGGAAAACTGGTTATTGTTTAACAGCTCTGTCTTAAGTTGGCAAAGTACAGATAAAAAAGAGTCACTGCCAATGTCTTTATCAGTGGGGAAAAAATAGGAAATAAATGAGGCAGAGAAACTCCAGGACAGCCCAGGACCAAGAACTTGATTCAGAGAGTGAGGTCTTGACAACAAAACAGGAAAGGAGAAAATCAGGCTGCCTGGGATTCAACATTAGACCACAATTCTCCTTTGGTGTGGTTGCTTTCAATAGAGGGAGTTGGAATGAGATGATCTTTAAGGTCCCTTCCAACCCACAGCATTCTGCATTTCTGTGATTTTATGAAAGGAGATGGGTAGGTTATTCTCTTCTCCAGAGGGTCTCCAATATTTCCTTTTGTTTAAAATCTTGCCCTCCACCCTAAATTCTATCAATCTGAGTGTCACTTTATAATTTTTTGCCTTCTTTATTTTCTTTTTCTTTTTCTTTTTCTTTTTCTTTTTCTTTTTCTTTTTCTTTTTCTTTTTCTTTTTCTTTTTCTTTTTCTTTTTCTTTTTCTTTTTCTTTTTCTTTTTCTTTTTCTTTTTCTTTTTCTTTTTCTTTTTCTTTTTCTTTTTCTTTTTCTTTTTCTTTTTCTTTTTCTTTTTCTTTTTCTTTTTCTTTTTCTTTTTCTTTTTCTTTTTCTTTTTCTTTTTCTTTTTCTTTTTCTTTTTCTTTTTCTTTTTCTTTTTCTTTTTCTTTTTTTTTTTTCCTTTTTCTTTTCCCTTTTTTTCTTTTTCTTTTTTCTTTTTTCTTTTTTTCTTTTTCCTGGCTTCCTCTTAGGATTTCCCAGTCCTCCTTCTCCACAGCTCCATAACAGTCCATTATACCCAGCATATGCTCCCAGTTCACGTGTGAGGGCAGAAACCTTTGCCTGCAGAGAAACTCCTGCTGTTCTCATTAGGATCTGATCTACTCCAAACTCTGCCTCTCTTTGCAGATAGGGCCAAATGCCAAGGAGCTGTTCAGGCTCGTGGAGGATTTCATTGATGTCATCGGCTTCCGCATGAAAGATTTCCGGGATTCCTACCAAGTCACGGACAATCTGGGTGAGTTCATTGGCACTCCCCACGTCGGGAAGAAACCCCCAAAAGCTGTTAATTACTGTGCAATATGGATAACCTGGGCTGTGGGGAGAGAAGGAAGGAGGGGAGGCAGCAGGTGGTGGGATATTAAAAGGTCTGGGGGAAGACATGGATGGGCGTAAATATGGGTTGGCTTTTCTCCAAAGAAGTTAGGATTTCATGAGGAAGAAGAGAGATCCACAGAGAGATCTGAGAGATATCTACCAAATGGAGAACAGATGACAAACTGGGCAGAATTAGACTCTTTCTTTTATTTTTTGAACACAAGAACAGCCCAGCAGCCAATGGAGGCAGTGAGCAAACAGCAGGCAGTGTTTGATTGATGCTGTGTGCACAATCGCAGCATGGAACTTGTTGCCAGAGGAAGTTGCAGAAGCCAAAAAGTACAGATGGGTTCATGATGGGATTAGGAAAGTGCACAAAAGAGAGGTCCATTGGTGGCTGTTAAAGTTGATGATCTGGATGCAGCCAGGAGCTGAGGAAGTCCTGCTGATTGCTGGGAGGACAAACCAAGAGATGTCTTGTTCTTTCTCCCACTTCTTATCAGCTGCTGCTAGACACTCCTGGAGATAAGGTGCTGGAGCAGACTTTCATCTGCTAGATTTAATGCAGGCAGGACCCTTTCAGCAAAGCACAAGTTTTTATCTTCTTTCATTCATAGACATTTCCTCAAGAGAACATCACTCCTACTACTCCCAAGATCCAATCTCTCTGATTTCCCACTAATGCTTCCAATTTTTTCTTGAGCACACGTGGAATTTCTTGAAGCTGGTTTCACTTACTGGTTTCATTTCTTTATTCTCCCCAGTCCTTGGTATTCACAAACTGCCTGCAAATGCAGCAACCGACATCACCTTCCCCATGAAAGGCTGGAGGGGAATGGTGGACTGGGCCAAGAACTCGGAGGACAAAGTCACTGTCTCCAAGAGCATCCTGTCTTCAGGGCTCTCAGGTAGGCAGCACAGCCAACACAATTTTTTCCTTAGTTTTCTAAGAGTGGTTCCTTCTGTTTGCTTGGTCTTCAAATCCTCTTCCAGATCAGCTGGATTTGCTCACAAATGTTTGGGCATTGAAGGATTGATGAGTGCAAATAAGGCTTTCAAATATGGCCTGACTACGAGTTTGAACTAAACTCCTCACTAAAGTTCAGGGGTAGGTTTAGTGTCTGGGTGTGGATGTTTATCTTTTCCTAAAGAAGCGGAAAAATTGGCAGACAATGCTTTAGTGCCCTCCAAACCTGGATCCAGACCTGATGGAACCATCTGAGGGTGAGTAGCTGAGAGTCAGCAGGTCAGGCTGAGCAGCTGAGTCTGCTGCTTGGACAAGCTTTGATAGATCTGGGGATTTATGGTCCTTGTGTGAAATTTCCTGCCCCCAGAAATGAAATTCAGAGGCATTTATCACTGAGGCTTCACATCAGGGCATGGATAGGAGCCTCAGCATGGAGGTGGTGCCTCAACCAAGCTGGCCTCACTGCCAGATCTGGAAATCTCTCATTGCATGCTAGGATAACCCAAAATTATTTATTAAAAAAACCCAACTTTTTGGAGGTTTCTGGGATGGTCTGGTGGATGAGAGTCCCAGGAACCAACACACTCAAGGTGCTCATCTTTAGGCAGAGATGACATCTGGCAGGATTGAGTCCTGAATTCTCAAAAGCAGGACCCAAAATTGGGCTGATTGATGATGGGATTTGCTTTTGGCACTCATGGCTTTGAGAGCTGCTGGCTCCCCCTTCCTTGGGACAGAGGCTGGAGACTGAGTTGTTGCTACAAAAAACTTTTGGCCTTGAGTTGTCACACCAGGACCTTTTGTCATGGGCCTCCCTGCTGGGGATGGCATCAGCCATCACTTCAGCTTGGGAAATCTGAGGCCAAGAACAGTTAAGTGACACTCCCAAGGGTAAGGGATGGGGATTTCCCTGCTTGGGAAATCTGAGGCCAAGAACAGTTAAGTGACACCCCCAAGGGTAAACAGTGTGTCACTGGCAGAGCTAGGACCTTGTCAAGCACTCCTTGTGTTTTGTTGTGCCTTGCAGACAGTGTGAGCTCCCTGGGAGAAGCTGGAGCACGTAGGGAGCGTTATCCCGGTTTTTTGTGGAAGCTCTGGTGCCTTCACTTTTCAAAATCTTTAATCACCTGTTGGACAAGCTGTTGGACCAGGTCTAGACAGAGCTGATCCTTCTCTGAGGCTGAGGGCTGTCCCAAAAGTACCCAGCTCCCCATGGAGCTGTTTTCTAGATTTCTGTTGGAAGCATCCTCACAGAGAGCTGCTCCAGGGCCCCTGAGCTGTAGTGACTGAGCAAACAAAACATGACATCCACCCTGAGGAAACAACTTCCAATCAGTGCTCACCTCTCCATGGTTTCCTGAGTACCACCCAGGGCTCTTCTGCCTCTGTTTTATTCAATATCTTGTGCTGGTGTTGTAGGTTTTGAGGGGTTACTCAGTGATTCCAGCAGAAATCCACCTCTATTAGTTTTGATCCTCGCTTTTCTCTGGGTACAGAAGTAGCTATCCTGAGCAAAGTGATGAAGACAGGCAGCTTCATGAGACCCAATCCCAACCCCCTCACTGCTGGGAGCTGACTTTGAACAGTTGATTTCTATGGGCCAACACTGATTTATGCAGTTGGGTGACAAAGTTGCTCTGCAAGCTTGTCTGTCAGTCTGTCCCAGTTATGTGCTCACCAGATATCCCAATTTGATGATGAGAAAGATGGACATGCAGAGCTGTGCCTGTCCTGCAGTGATGAAGCAGACACACTCTCAGCTCAGCCTCAGTACAAGACATCAGAGAAGCCCCACCTGGTGCTTTCCCAGGCTTCTTCAGCATTGCTTTCCACACAACCACCTGCTTCTTCTCTCCCTGAAAATCCAGCTCCAGGGCTGCCTCTGCTGCTCGTGGTTTATCAGGGGAAGTTCTGGCTTTTTGCAGCTGGGGCACCGTGAGGTAGTGGAGGAGGAGGAAGAAAAATAAGAGGAGAAAGAGGAGGTCAATTGATGTGCCCAGAGGTTACACAGATGATTCAGAGGCTCATCTGGATCTGCTGCAGCCCCCAGAGGCAGCACATGAGTTTTAGGGTCAGAGCAGGCGCAGTAGGAACTCTCCCCTTCCCGCTGGCCTTGTCGGCCTGAGTGCAGCTCTCCTCTCTGATGGCCTGATAGCTGTGGATGGCTCCAAAAGCCTCGAGGTGGCTGCAAGAGACCTTTCCCCCCTTGCAGATTTGTCTGCTGTGGTGCTGTCAGAGGAATTTGTGGGTTTTTAAATGGGGGAGCACCATTTGGGAGGGATGAGCCTTGGTGAAGGCAGAAATCTGGGATGCTGGGTCACGCCAAAGGTGCTGAGTCCTCCCTGTAGTGACAGCAGCCACTGCATCCTGCTGCAGTGATGTTGGCCCTCCACCACTGGCCATGCTCCTCCAGAGGCCAAATCCTGTCCTGGGGTGTCCCGTGGGGACAGCTGCCACCCTGAATGTCACAATGCTGTTGTCTTCTTCCCTCTCCTCTGGTGTCCTGCAGTGTCGGACGACTCCTCTGTCTTCGTGGTTGGGACCGTGCTCTACCGGAACGTGGGCAACATCCTCTCCCTGCAGAGGTAAGAGGGGCTGCCTGGGGATGGGGAGCAGCTGGAGAACCACCAGGATGATCCCTCTGCCTGCAGAGCACTGGTTCTCCAGGGAAAAGTAGAGATCACTGGCTGCAACGAGACAGATTTTGACCTTCAGTGGGAATATTTTGACCCCTGTGTTCAGGTGGGGCCAAGCTCATGCGCCACATGCTGGGGGTGCAGGAATGTTTTCCCCATCCACGTGCAGCACCCCAGACACAAGGGGAGGAAGCTCAGTGCTGCTGTCTCAGTCTTCCCTGCCACCCTTCACCCTCCAGGAGTGGAACCTCACCCTGCCCTCCTGGCCATGGGGGAGTTTGGCAGCCCTGACAGATGGGGGATGCTCAGCTGTCCCGATCTTCCCGAGCTGCCAGGGAGCTGCCAGCCACACTGAGCCCTGGAGAGCAGCACAGAGGAATCAGGCTGGGGAGGAGAGAGAGGAGCAGAGCATGCCTGGCTGCACATGTCTGCCTCGGGCACCAAAGCTTTTGTGTTCAGCACTCCCTTCCCTTTTCTTCGCTCCTCTTCCTTTTCCTCTCACTCTTTTTTTTTTTTTTTTTTTTTTTTTTATCCAAAAAGACTGGTACTGAGGCAGTAAATTAAGCATCCTAAGGCACCTTCTAAATCTGTTCTGCACTGATTAGCGTGAGCCCATTTACCATAAACACCAGGGCATCTCTCCTCACCGATAATCATTTAAATACCTCCAGATTTAGCACTGGCAATGGCAAAAGAGCTCCGAGTGAGTGCAGAGAGGAATTAGCAAGTCAGCCAACTGTATTCCGTAATATCTTCCATTACAGCAGTGGGAATTAGATCAGAAGGGCAATAAACATCATTGGCTCAAACGATCCAGCGGCATTTCAGCTTCCTCTGGCCAAGCAGGGAGTGAGCTCTGATAACCAGCAGCTGTGGCAGCCACAGCCTCCGAACAGCGTTCCCAGGGGAGAGCTGATTTAAGATGTTCCTTAATTAAAGGACAGTCCCTCTTTAAAAAAATCTCGAGTCTTGAATCACCTGTGGAGAGTCAAAGAAAAAGAAAAAAAGATAAATGAAAGCAGCAGCAGCAGTAAAACACCTCTTACTTCAGCGCTGTGCAAATGGACACAGCATTAAAAAGGAGAATGTTGTTAAACAGCAACATAGCTGTCTGTGGGTAAAAAATATTTCTGACCATGGAGGCGAGCAGCTATTCCTGGGTACACATAAGAAATACAGACCCTGAATTGGACCACTCTGATTCAATGCAGAATGATTCTTACAAGAAGGAAAAAAAAAAAAAAAAAAGCAGATTTAACTCAACAAACAGCACCAGCTGAGCTGTTCCTAATTGTCCCAATTTACCTCCCCCCAAGCAGCAATTCTGTCTCTGAGTCACACATTACTCTGTCCCCTTGGATCCAGAGAGCCCAGCAGATCTTGGCAGCTGTGACAATTGGGATGGGCTGCACACAAAACCTGATTTTCCAAGCCGGGGAAGTGAGAGAGGCGCTTGGTCCCAGCTGGACTCTGCTGCAGAGGACACGGACAGCAGGGAGCCACCAGCCTGGCTCTCCCTGTGTGCCCAGCTCTGTGCTCACAGCCCTTTGCACACCCTTGGTGGCTACTCAGAGCCCTCTGATCTCCTCTGAATTCCTGCTCAAGCCCAGTCTCTGCGTGTTTTGTTTTCTTCCCAGAAGCTGGGCTGCAACATGCTTGTAGGAAAAGCGACTCATCTTCCTCCTGAAAGATTCCTCATGACACTGAGTCCTTCTCCGCCCCCAACAAGCTGCTCAGCTGCTTAATTACATTCTCTGCCAGGAGCCTGCCTCTCTTTTTAAGGCTGAATTTGTCTGGCTTTCACTTCCAGGCACTTGGCCTTCGGGTGGGTGACTGAAAAGCCCCCCACGTGCAAGGAACTATCAGACAAGCCTTCCAACAGAGAAATTTTGTTTTCCTGCACCTGGATCGATTTTGTGTCTCTGTTTTGAACTCCCTTTGCTGTTTCCCCCTCTCAAAGTGAAATTGAACCCAACAGCACAGTGGAATCCAGACAAGGAGGGTACACACAGGAGTTTTTTGCTTCATCTCAGTGGGAGGGATTTTCAAGATTATCCCGTTCCAACCCCCTGCCATGGGCAGAGACACATTCCACTATCCCAGGCTGCTCCAAGCCTCGTCCAACCTTGCCTTGAACATTTCCTGGGATGGAGCAGCCGCAGCTTCTCTGGGAATCTGTGCCAGGGACTCACCACCCTCTGAGCAAAAATTTCTTCCAACATTTAATCCTAACCTCATCTCTTATAGTTTAAAACCATTCCCCCTTGTGCTATCATTATTTACCCATGTAAAAAATTGCTCTCCATTTTTTTAATAACCTTCCTTCAACTTCTGGTTCAGCTGCAGCTTCTTGGCCACTGATCACCCTTCACGGTCTGCATACCGGTGACTTCTGTGTTCCAACAACTTGCCACGCTGAAAAATCAAATTCTTTTCTGTCTGTGTTGGCTGCCTCGATTGTCACCTGCTCCTCAGCCTCCACAAGGAGGTTTGGGTCATCCCTGCTGCTCCTGTGAATATTCAGCAGCACTGACCTGAGGACTGACCCTTGCAGACACAGCCTCTAATGAAGACATGCACTGGTGGTTACCTTTCAGCAGATCCCATTTTTAGCTTCTTACAGCTGCCTGCTCCCATTGATTTACTCCTTTACTTTTCCTCTGTAGGGTGATAGTTGTGCTTTGTCATTTCATTATTTTTTTCCTTTCTTTTTCTATTTTAGTTTTCCCTTTTTTTTTTTGAAAGGAAAAGATATATTTTTGGTTTTTTTTCTTTCCCTGTTAAATCAATGTTGTTGTTCCCTCTAGTGTTGGTGGAACAGTAGCTTTTTGAGCATCCACTTACACACCCATGGGCTTTGTCATTTCATTATTTTTTTTCTTTCTTTTTCTAGTTTAGTTTTTCCTTTTTTTTTTAAAAGGAAAAGATATATTTTTGTTTTTTTTTCTTTCCCTGTTAAATCAATGTTGTTGTTCCCTCTAGTGTTGGTGGAACAGTAGCTTTTTGAGCATCCACTTACACACCCATGGACAATTCCAAATATTTTTTTCCACTTTTTTTTTCTTTAAACACTATTTTTCTTAGCTGCTGTTAAGCAAGTGCAAGTCTTTCCCGCTTAATTATTTTTTAGAAAGAAAGATACAATCCAGAGAGAAAAGTGAAAGATTTTAGCAGTACCTGCAGATTTGGTGAAGATTTGGATAAGGAAGGATTTCCTTTGTTCATGGATGTCACAGGGGCTGGGAACAGCCTGATCTAGATCTACCACTCCACTACCAATTCCTTCATGGCAGCATTTTCAGCTGCTGTTTTTGGGGGCCTTTTGCTTATTTAAACACCAATAAACTGCAGAAAAATGAGGAAATTCTGTATTTTCACATGTTCAGTGTCTAGGGAAGTGCCTACAGAGAGTTTGGCTTTCCAGGGAGGGATGGTACCTCCTCCCATGTTGCCCCTCCCAAGAGCCAAATCTCCCAGGGCTGCCAGATTTATTACAATATTTGTCTGGGCACAGACATTTAGACATCTACATGAAAGATTTGGCCTTCTTCCATTTGCTTTTGCTCCTCAGGGAATGAAGATACACAGCAGTGCCTCCAGCCAGGAGCGTGTGCTGCCCCATGGATAAGCAACAACACCTCAACCTCACTGCAGTGCAGGCTAAGCCAGCTTTGGAGAGGCAGAACAGGATTTTTTTTTGTTTTTAAACACATGAAATCATGGAATATTCTGAGTTGGAAGGGACCTACAAGGCTCACTGTAGTCCAAATGAGTTCTGTTTCCTCATGGCAGGGACAGAAAATGAGCCCAGGAATATTTTATGTCTAAGATAGATACAGACTCTAAGGCCAGTGGATAAGGTTCATAAAATGGTTTGATTTTGGAGAGATACATGTGGATTGGCTGTGAAGGGAGCCCAGGGGGCAGGGGAGGCGTCCATCAGTAGCAAATTTATTTGGGGGTATTTTATAATAATGGGGTCAACCCCTTCTGCACTGTGTACACTAAACCTTGCACTGCCAGTGATGGTCGCCATGGGATTCCCTGCTCCACAAAAATCCCTCTAAAAGCTCTCTTTCCCCTCTCCTCCCCAGGAACAGCACCGTTCTGAACTCCAAAGTCATCTCTGTGACTGTGAAGCCATTCCCTCGGTCTCTCCTCACCCCTCTGGAAATCGAATTCTCCCACCTGTACAATGTAAGTGGTTCCTGGGAATCTGCCCCATCCCATGGCTGTGTTTGCTTCTGCAGGGCAGGAATGTATTGCTGCAAGGATGAAGTGGTTGTGATGGGTTCCTGGCATCTTTTTGCTGGTGCAGGACCCTTCAATCTTCCCAAAAAATGTAACACAAACTTCATTTCCAGAGCAGCAGGAGGGTGACACTGCTGGCACAGGGAACATGGCCATGCCTGTCCCCAGTTCACACCATTTCATTGTGGGCATCATCACACAGGAATAATTGTGCACTCATTAAAATAACTTGATGTAACTATGGTCTTCCTTGAGGGGGAAAGGTTGTTCCCATTAATTATGGAATATTACTGTTGTCCTCAATGCTTTCCAAGGCAGGCAGAATTTCCCTCCAGGTTCCTCTGCTCAGCCCAGATTTATGGGATGGACATTTACGTACCCCAAGGTCCATCCTTGTGGAGACTAGATGCCCTCCTGAGGCTCTACAACATGAATATTAAGATCTGTTGTGTCTTTGGACTCTCCTGGAGGGATTTTCCAAAGCTGTCTCAGACAGCTGCAGTCAGAGGCAAAACTCTTCCAGGGGGCTTTAAACACACCTGATCTCCTCCTGCAGGGCTGTGCTTTTGTCCCACAAAAGCAGAGGCTGTATTTGATTCACTTTCCAGAAGGGAGCAGCAAAAGGACTCTGTGTGAGAGGAGGGATAAGGAGGAATATCCGTGGGTTGAGTCAGGAGAGAGGCAGAGTCAAATTCCTCTGCTGTGCTCGTGATGCAGAACAAAGCAAGGCACGTTTTATTCTGCCTTTTCAATCCCAGGGTGGCAAAAGCCATTCCAAGGATTTGAGATCCATGACAGCTCATCTCATGTATCCCTACTTTCATCCTTAGGGCAGTGGAAGGGGTTTTACAGACCCCACATTCTTCATTCCAGTCCAGACACTCCACAAACAGCGTGACACTGATTTGTTTCTATTTTCCCTTTCTTGTCTCCTGGCAGGGAACCACCAACCAGACCTGCATCCTGTGGGATGAAAATGATGGGTGAGTTCTCTGGGTTTCTCTTTAATCTCACAGGTCTGTTTGCTTTTTTTGGGTGAAATCATCACAATTTTAGCCGTGATGTGTCAGTTCTTGCTCTCTCTACTCATTTTCTTTGCCCCGGTGGGGAGTGCTTCTTCCTTCACACGTCCACTGCTTCTCTCTGAGCTGTCCTTTAGTGCTGTTTTGGATTTTTCCACATAAAGCATGCATGAGCTGGGACCCAGGACTTAGGAAGTTTTCAGATTGAGCTCAGCACAGCTGTGCTTGGCTCTCTGCAGTGCTCACCCCAAATCATGCACCATAAAGAGAGTAACAAAAAATCAGTTGCAAATATGGCCTGTGGAGGTGAAGTTCAGGTGATATGAACTTTACATTGTGCTTCTGTGATATGGAAAAATGACTTTTGCCAGAATTCGAATGATGACTGGTGCTGTTCAGGAGGGTTTGAGTGATGTACTTGTGGCCAGCTGGGTTAAAAAAAAACCAATCCCAAGTTACCACAAAGAGTTGGGACCATAAATCCCATATGGGGAGTAGTTGTCAAAGAATGTGCATCTTAGAAAGAAAAAAAAAAGCCACTCTGAAAGTGAGGTCTTAAATCCTGAGTGAACTTGACAAGGATACAAAGTGTTTGATTTAATGGTGGTTTTACTTCACTGACTTTTGCATCTCAGTTTGAGCACCTACCTGGCTCCTCTTCTGCTTGCAGTCAGTTCCTCTCCTTGAGATCTCAGACATTTGGCACATGCCCCTGCATTTATTATTATTATTTATTATTATTACCAGCAGCATCTGAAAAATGATTCCATTCTTGTCCTTTTATGCTCCATTAAGTAGCATATGCACACAGAGGCAGGCAACATATTTACACTCTGCTCAGTTCCCGTTGGTCTGGGATTAATTTGGCATCTCTGAGTGGATCCAAAGCAAAGCTGAAGAACCCAGAGGTTCTCCCTGGTTGTGGAATCACACCTGTGTTGTAGCCCAGGGCAGAACTGGTCCCTCTGGCTTCTAGTGAAAATTGCTCCAGTGTTAGAAGATGATTGAGATGCAGGTGGACTTTTAAGAATTTAATAAAAGGGGGTTTTAAAATATTTTCTGTGTGCCAAAGAGTGTGTGGGTCAGCACAGAGGGTTGGATTGGTGGGCAGGTTCAGGAGCTAGCCTGCTCTGGTATATCTGTTGTTTCTCCATGCTGGAATGGAATTAAAGCACTTGTACAACAACTCAATTCTTGGCAGGTAAAGGCAGGAGCTGGAACCATTGCCTCTTTTGTTCTGCACTCCATCCCATTACTTTTGGCTTTCCAAAAGCAGAGAGAGGGTTGTGTCCAGGAACATGGAGATGTTTCAGACCTGGATTTAATTAGCTGCAGTCTGAGCATGAAAAGAGCAAAATCCAGCTTGGACATGGCTGAGGGATAGGGATGCCATCCAGGGTGGGTGCAAGGAATCTGTCAGAGCTGGCACTGGGAAGTGCCTGGTAGTACACAGATGAATGTTTGACCAGTGCTGAGCATGGACTGAGAGGTTTGGATGGCATTTCTGAGTTGGAGGCAAAGCAGTGCCCAGTTCAGCATCATCAGCATCCTAGAGAATTGTTTGGGTTGGAAGGGATCCTAAAGATCATCTCATTCCAACCCCCTAGACCAGACATTCCTGCCCTGGGAGCTCTTCCTCTCAAGGCTCAGCAGCTTCTTGGGCTGCCTGCTGTCCCTCTGGGAGTGCAAGATGCTGGGATTCCTTTTAGTCTTTAATCCCTGCATCCTCATGGCACCAAAGAATGAGAGCTAAGAGCTGAGAAGGAAATTTCTTGGCACCAAGGCCACAGTTCAGTTTTCAAGGATGGATTCCAACCCCCCGGCAGGTTGGTTGTGCAAATGCTGCTGCTAAGCCTCCACTTTCCCCGTGTTTTGGGATTTTGGGGTGTGCGTGTGCACACCTGCAAGTGTTTGCAACCAACATTTACAATCTTGAGCAGCTGAAAAGCCCCAGATCCTGATGTCAGCAGATTTTTGCTCGGACGATGTTCCAAACACTTAGAGCTGATCCGGCAAGCTCTGGCCAGGGGAGCTGCCAAGCTGTTTGTGCAATATTTCAAAAGCTGATTTGCACAACATTTTAGAGCTGATTTGCTACCTCTGCTGCCTCCTGGGAAAGTCTAATGAAAGGCAAATTATGCAAACTCTGTTCCCCAGTCCTGACTGCTCACCTCGAACAGTGCTCTGGATCTGTCGAGGGGTTTGAATCACAATTTTGGGTAACTGTTTCCTGCTTGGAACAAGAACTTTTGCACCCTGGACTTGTTGCCTGGTATGTGGTAGAGGTCCTGATTGGTGACTCTGTGACATGAAACCTCATGGTTCAGCCACTCTTTTGTGATTTCCCGCTTTGCTCCCATCTTCTCATTCCTGCCACCTCTCCCTGTGGCCTGGAGGTTTTCCTATAAAGTGGTTGTGCAAATGGGTGAAACTAAGGATGTCCCATCCCGGGAAGTGTTGAGGATCAGGTCAGATGGGGCTTTGAGTAACCTGGTCTGGGGGAAAGTGCCCCTGTCCATGGCAGAGGGGTTGGAATTAAATGTTCTTGAAGGTCCCTTCCAAGCCAAACCGTTCTGTGAAATCCCATTTCCCAGTTCTGACCAATTTAATGAATTTACAGCTTCAGTTCCCTGCCTGTTCTCCCCCCTGCTGCATTCTCTGCAGCCCAAGCCAGCCTGGGGATGGCAAATCCTATTTGTTCTGCCTTGAATTATCATCTTCACAGCGTGTTCTTTGAGGGTCCATGCTTCAATCCAGCTAGTGGCCAGTGTCACCCACTCATTCTACTTCAGCTGTGGAACCACCCATCCTATTCCTTCCTGTATACTCCAGATAAGACTTAGCACAACGAGCAAAAACCCAACAAGGGTCATTCTCTGTCAGAGCACACAGGTCCCTTCCTTCAAGTTATTAATTCCACTGAGCCAGCCCACCTTCCATAATCAAACTTTTAACCCATACCTTAATGTTTTTGTGAACATTTAACTATTTAGAGTTCAAAGAAGAAAAATTATAGAATATAGGAGACAATTGTGAATCAGGTTGCTTTCTCAGAAGATGCTCAGACCCTTCAAGATTCCTCTTGTGCTGCTCTCCATGTTCCTGCTCCAAGGATGGGTGGCCAGATGGAGCTTCCCCACGCTCACCCACCTGAGGCTGCAAATCTTGGTGACCCAAATCCCTCATTCCAGTGACCTAGCCTCTGGATTTAACCCCTTGCCTCCTGTGACAGAACAGGTGCAGAGGCTGGAAACCTGGAGCAATCCTCCCTTGAGAGCTCCTGCCTGTTCCTGCAGCCACCTGAGCTTCCAATACCATCCAGAGCATGCCAAAATCCTTTAAAGGCCACTTAAAATCCATGGGCTGTGCAGGGTTGGACTGTAAAATTGCAGTTAGAATCAGACAATTACCTGGTGACCATGTGCTTCCTCAAAGATGGAGCTGTCTAACAGAGCACTTGGACATAAAAAAAGAGGAAGAACCCTTGAGTGTTCATTCATTTGCATTTAGATGGATATTTAAGCTTGTACTATTAACAATGGATTTTTGATTTATTAATCCCAGTCCCTTCGAGTGACTCTGAGATTCGTGGGTGGCACCTCTGCTTCTCTTTTCTCTTTCCCTTGCCCCCAACTCCTCATGGCATGAAATAAGAGGGGAGAAGATCAGGGACTAATTTCTGTTGTGTTGGGTGCTGGGAGTGTGATTAATGAGCTTAGCATGGGCTGGGTAAATTGAAAGTTGAAATCAGAGAATGATTTGGGATGCTCTGGCTCTCCTCCAAGGGTATTCATCTGGAGTAATTATTGGCTGCTTAGCCCTGATGAAGTGAAAACCCAGGCAGGATCTGGTCTGCTCCCTCTTTCTCCTCCTGGGACAGGGGAGGAGTTGATAAATACATCCATGGTTGTGTGCTCATGTTCTTGTGCATCACCAGAGTTTCATTTCTCACCTGCCTTGCCCTGGTGCACAACAGGGATTTCATTTGGCAATGGGAACAGGGAGATAGAGCCAAGGTTTGTTACTGGTGGTGACAGCATCACTTCGTGTGTCTTTACAACTCCCTGAAAGGACATTTTAATGAGGTTGGAGTCAGTCTCTTCTCCCAGGTAACAAGTGACAGAACAAGAGGAAACATCCTCAAGATGCACCAGTGGAGGTTTAGATTCGATATTAGGAAAAAATTCTTCACTGGGAAAGTGGTCAGGCTTTGGAACAGGCTTCCCAGGGAAGTGTTAGAGTCACCACCCCTGGGAGTGTCCAAAAAATGTGTGGATGTGGCACTTGGAGATGAGGTATAGGGGTGAACGTGGCAGTAGTGGGTCAAGAGTTGTGCTCCGTAATCTTTTCCAGCCTTAACAATTCCATGATTCTGTGGCTGCAGAGGAAGGTGTGGGGCTGTTTAGTGTTGCAAAGCAGTCCTGCTGCCCCATGGGGCTGATGAGTTTGATCCTCAAGATGCACCAGTGGAGGTTTAGATTCGATATTAGGAAAAAATTCTTCACTGGGAAAGTGGTCAGGCTTTGGAACAGGCTTCCCAGGGAAGTGTTAGAGTCACCACCCCTGGGAGTGTCCAAAAAATGTGTGGATGTGGCACTTGGAGATGAGGTATAGGGGTGAACGTGGCAGTAGTGGGTCAAGAGTTATGCTCCGTAATCTTTTCCAGCCTTAACAATTCCATGATGCTGTGGCTGCAGAGGAAGGTGTGGGGCTGTTTAGTGTTGCAAAGCAGTCCTGCTGCCCCATGGGGCTGATGAATTTGGGTTCAGGCCATCAAAGCTGTCTTTGGGTGTTCTTTGAGCACAGGGTCAGGTAAATGAGGAGAACTGGTGTGAGATGGAAAGGGACAGTCACAAACCACTATGTGTGGGATGTCTGATAAGGGCATGGAGTGATGGGACAAGGGGAAATGGCTTTGAGGTGAAATAAAGGAGGTTTAGATTGGATATTAGGATGAAGTT